AGGGGAAGAGAGAAAAGAAAAAAAGGGAGGGCACAAAATAGTTTTCAAGGTCACCTTTAAGGGTCTCCCTCCCTCCCTCCCTCCCTTCCTCCCTCCCTTCCTTCTTCCCTTCACATCTGCTCGGTGGATCACCAGGTCTCATTTGCGTTGTCCCGTATCTGCGAAAGCAGACATGAGAACACAGGACACACGCAGATGCCACCATGACGCTCTTAGCTTCTGTTTGCTGAGAGAGGGTCTTGCTGTGAATGACAGCCACAATGGATGATTCACAAGGTAAATGAATTTAAAAGCTATAAATCCATGAATTAAAAAAATACAAACTGATACTATGCAACTGTGGGAGCCCCGCGCATGTGCTTCAAGGAGCTCTGACCGCGGGGTGCGGCTTGACCACGGCTCGAGCTGCCGCCCGGAGTGCACTGCTGTGCTGGTGCTGTGGTCCCCTCTCCGAGCTGCTCCCCGCGGCGACGGACACGGCAGACAGACGGAAGCACGTCGTTCATGGGACAGCCAGCACGTCTGAGGGCATGAGGACTCCTCAGGGGCTCTGCTGCTGCCTCCTCAGCTGCACGGCCTGGTCTGGATGCGTCTGCCCAGCGCCTGCTCCCGGTCTCCTGCACGCGGGGTCAGGCAGGCATTGCTGCCCGATGACTCTTCCAGCCTTTGCCTGCCCACCCGCCCTCCGTTTTCCTGCCTACAAGTATTTTCCTTAGTGAAACCCTGGCATGTTCAGTCTCATTTTGACATCTGACTTGGACTAAGTAGAATCTAATCTCAGGAGCCCTTTTTCTTAAAATATATATATATATATATATATATGTATATATATATATATTTTTTTATTGATTTTTTGAGAGAGAGAGGAAGAGAGAGAGATAGAAACATTGATGTGAGAGAGAAACATTGATCAGCTGTCTCCTGCACGCTCCCTACTGGGGATGGAGCCCACAGCCTGGGCATGTGCCCTGACCAGGAATCGAACTGGGACCTCTCAGTCCATGGGACAGTGCTCAATCCACTGAGCCGCACTGGCTGGGCTTGGGAGCCTTTTAAAAAATATTTTTATTGATTTTTAGAGAGAGGGAGGGAGAGAGAGAGAAACATTAGCCAGCTGCCTCCTATATGCTCCCTACTGGGGATAGAGATGGAAACCTAGATGGGGAATAGAACCTGAGACCTTTTGGTGCATAGGATGATGCTCAACCAACTGAGCCACATCAGCCAGGGCCGGGAGCCTTTATACTAAAGCCTCATGGATCTGTGATCTTCTCCTGAGGCAGACTGGACAAGAAAGCGAGTTATGTTCTGTATAAACATCTGCCTCCTGGGAAACAGCCCGAACTTCTGCACTGGGCTGGGGGTGGTACAGGTTGGCACGGGCAGCTTTAAGGACGCAAGACCAGCCCTGGCCGGTTTGGCTCAGCGGTTGGAGCATCGGCCTGTGGTCCTGAGAGACCCGGGTTCGGTTCCCGCTAAGAGCGCGTGCCTCGGTTGCAGTTTGTCCCCGGCCCTGGTTGGGTCGTGTGGGTGGCAGCCACTCGATGTGTCCCTTTCACGTCGATGTTTCTCTCTCTCTCTCCCTCCCACACTCTATCTGAACAAAAAATAGAAAAAAATGTCCTCGGGTGAGGATAAAAAATAAAAAATAAAAAAAAAAAAAGGACGCAAGACCAGCTCTCAGAAGGAATCCACCTTTGTCATCCTCATTACAACACACATGCTGGCTTCTGTCTGGGTGAAGCGTTTCAAATGTTCATTATTTGAAGTTGTGTCACATATTATGGCCCAAGAGTTTTATTTTTAAAATCCTCATTTTTCTGTAAAGAACAAATGTGACATATTTTGCTTTAGGTAGGAAAATCAAGCAGCTCTCATCTGGAGAAGGAGCATTAAAGTGAAAGGTTAGTAAGGGACCAGTCAGCAAGGGGACCATCGCGGGGAGAGATTTTGGAGGAGGGTGGTAACCAGCCAACATCATTAAATGTAGCAAGAGGAACCAGGGCTGAACCTAAGGAGGAATTGGGCCCCAAAGTGTGGAAAAGGTCATGGCTTAAGTTCTGACAGCAGCTTTTTTTGGAGAGACCTCAAACGAATGGCTCCTAAATTTAATATGCCCAAGAATCTTCTAGGGAGCTCATCGGGACTGGAGATGCCATCAAAGATTCCAACTCAGGGGGTCTGAATTACTGTTCCATTTAAATTCAGGAACCTTCTCCTCTGTAAGCTCCCCAAGTGCTCCTGATGCAGGTAGTTTGTGAATCATAGTTTGGAACCAATGACGCCAGACTGTTTGGGATAGTTTCCTGTTTCAGGATGTGCGGAGGCAGGAGAGACTGGGAGTCCTCCTCCTCACTCTCAGACTCCATTTATGGTTTTATTTTATTTATTTATTTATTTTTTTATCCTCACCCGAGGATATTTTTTCCATTTTTTGTACAGATAGAGTGGGAGGGAGAGAGAGGAAGGGAGAGAGAGAGAGGGGGAAACATCGATGTGAAAGGGACACATCGAGTGGCTGCCACCCGCACGACCAACCAGGGCCGGGGACAAACTGCAACCGAAGTACGTGCCCTTAGCGGGAACCGAACCCGGGTCTCTCCGGACCGCAGGCCGACGCTCTAACCGCTGAGACAAACTGGCCAGGGCCATTTATGGTTTTAAAAAGGTACCAGAATATTTAAAAAGATTTTGAGAGATCATCCTCTTTGTAAAATTTTCAAGGATGTAAATTTGATAATAACTATGTCCCAATGGAGCTGTTTCCCCGCCGAGTCAGCATTAGTGTGACAGTTGTTTTTCAGTCTCTTCCCCTAGGAGTCAGATAGTACGCATAGGACAACGGGAAGGATGGGGCCCTGACAACGAGGCCGACGCTCGGCACCTCGCTAAGCAGGGATTGGCAGACTTTTTCTGCAAAGGGCCTGCTAGCAAGTAGTTAAGGCTTTCTGTGCCATACTTTTTCTGGTGCAGCTATTCAACTCTGCCCTTGTAGCCGGAGACCTGCCACAGACAATAAATAAATAGCTGGGGCTGTGCTCCTGTAACACTTTACTCACAGCGATAGGCTGGATTTACTACTCTTGCTATAAAGGCTTGATAAGTTATTATTATCACCATAGCTTACAGATCATCTTAAGAAATAGCGAAGTAATTAGTTTTTATTTTTTTGGTACGTGCCCCTCGCAGGAACTGAACCCAGGACTCTCTGGTCTGCAGGCTGACGCTCCAACCGCTGAGCCAAACCGGCCAGGGCAAAGTAATCAGTTTTTAACCAAGAACTAAGTCTATGTGCCAGCTGTATTTTCTTCCCCAAGGGAATCTGCTGACAGAAGCGATGAAGAAACCTTGCGTCTCCACGCTGCTCTTTCAGTAAACTTGCGGGAAAGTTGCCGCCGACGGAGACTGATGGCCTTCACGCTGCTCTAGGCTTCTGAGAGAGACACAGGCAGGTGTCATTGGTGAAGACCAATGTCCACAGAGGTTTTGAAGGAGTAAGAGCAGAAAGTCGCCTACATCTTTTCACCTCTGACCCTTTCCCTCTCTCTGAAGGCTTTGGTCTGGGCTAACGGCAGACTTTGTCTCCAGACCTCGGTGCCTCCGGAGTGCGCGTTTCGTAACCAGATGTCTGTGTTGCTCAGTGTCTGTGGACATTGACTTGCTCGGGTCTGTTTTGGACTACAGTTTCGGCCTTCTCTCCTAACCAGCTGGTATGCTTCCTTCGATCAGATGACAAATATTGCAGAGGGTTTTGCTTTTGGCCTTGGTTATCCGTAAGGTTAGAACTCAGTACAAGGCTCGATCTTTGTAATGCTTTTCATCGACTTGGGAAATAGACTTTTCCACCTTGAGGCTTGTTTTTCCAAGGTGTCCACGATGACCTTGAACGTTGTTGTATAGGGTGTCTTTCACTGTCAATTCCTTCCAGTGCTTCTTGGGTCCAGCTGAATTATACACCAAATGTTATAAACACAATCAATCAGATCATGTTTGCAAGGAGTGCTGTCCTCCCAAAGTAACGTATATATGGTTATAAATAAAACAAACTCTTCGGTACTTTATCAATACTAGGGACTTCTGTAATCAGGTGTATTATGGGACAGAGTTATGCCCTTTACTTCTGGAGTCAAGCACATCTGGGTTCCAGTTCAGCTCCCACTATAAGGACACTGTACAGTCCTGTGCGTGTCACTCAGTTGTTCGGAGTTTCAGTTTCATTTCTGTTAAATGGGTATAATAGCGACACCCGTCTCCCGGAACTGTGAGAATTAAATGAAATAATACTCGTACTATACACACACCACAATGTTCGGTCTGGGATAAGCACTGAATATACAGTATATAGCTAACATAAAATGTTTCTTTCTATTTTTATAGCAGTGTTTCTCTCCACATATAAGAAATATAAGAAATGCTCCGTGTTTGCTCTGGGTCCCCAAAAGTCTGCCTGTGTATTGCTGTGGCTTTAAAGTCTGTTTTCGTGCCCCTCCCCCAAGTAATTTTGAGTGATTCCCCACTAAGCAAGTGGAGCGTGACCTAATGTCTGGGAACTCTGTCACCAAATAGAGTCCAGATGGGAAGACTCTACAGAACATCGCGCAGGAATTGAAATGTTTACCCGAAACTTAAATGTTTCGGGGGTTCCGACCGTGGGGCCTGGTCCCCGTTCCCCGTCAGTCTGCTGTTTTCCACACAGCTCGCCTGTGTCAGGGCTGGTGACACTGTCCAGCCTGTGGTATCTGACTGCCCTTTCTGGAGAGTCTGGTGAAGAGCGAAATGGCAGAGACATTTCATGACACTTGTTTGGTTTCATGCATAGACCTTGTTCTGCTAATTTTTTTAAAAAAATTTTTCTTTATTTATTTCAGGGAGAGAAGAAGGGAGAGAAATAGAAACATGGGTGAGAGAGAACATTGATTGGCTGCCTCTGGGCCCACAGCCTGGGCATGTGCCCTGACTGGGAATCAAACCGGCGACCTCTTGGTGCACAGGTTGCCACTCAACCAGTGAGCCACACCGGCTGGGCTTGTTCTGCTAATTCTTTACAATTACCCCTCTTACGCTTTTCCTCTCAATGCTCAGCTTTAGAATAGAGATTTAATATTTTTCTTTCGGAGGTACTGACTGATACTGAAGCCCGAAGTGGATGGACTAGTACCACTGAAGTTGGGAAAAAAAGGCCCAAACAACCACAAGAAGCCCCAGGCTTTTCAGCAGGAGGGAGAGGGGGGATTCAGGCGCCGGCTGCAGGGTGCGCGTCATTAGCGGCTTCAGCACTCTCTGCTTCTGGCAGAGGATGGCCGTCCTGGCTCCTGCCCATCGCCCGGGCCCCTCCAGGCGGTACTGATAGGGGTTGCAGGGTCCAAAATAGAGTTTCACAGCCAGTTTCGGATCTTTGAGCAGGAGGGCGAGGAGGTCTGGCTTCGCACCTATCTCCGTGGCGAGCTCGTCCAAGTAGTCAATGTGCTTACTCATCAGAATCCGGCTCGGGCTGTCTCCAAACCTTAATGGAGGAAGGAAGAAGGGCATTCAGCTGCTATTGACAGAATGAAGGGCAGAAGGAACAAATACATGAGTTTTTAGTGAACCTCCTGGGGAAAGTGTTGGCTTATCCCTTCAGGAGTCCTGTCTTTCAGACCGACTGTAGGCTGTAAGGTGAACAGCCGTGAGTGCATGGGAGTTCGAGGAATGTGACAACGTTTCCAGCCACGATCATCATTGGGTATTTACTAAGCAAAGTACCAACTCGTCAGGATTGCCACCAAGATCTGCGCGATGACACCGAAGCAGGCCGAGCGCAGTGTCTTCCACAGAGGATACACTTACTCTCTGCTTGCTGAATTATTAGAGTACCTGGCACCCTGGCTGGCATCGGGTGCTCAGTCACTATGAGATGAACGAGAATTGGAACGGAGATAATCCCTTCATGGGATGTAAGGCTCCTCGTCCACTTCCCCAGGGGACTCGAGCCCCGTGGGACCTCATTCCCCGTCAATCACAAAATCGAAATCCTCAAGCCTTCCTGTCACACCCCCTTTCTAACGTAGCTGGGTAGGAGGTCCCCCAGCCAACTTTCCAAGATACTCAGGCTGCTTGTCCATTCTCCACCATTGCTCCTGCCCCATTTCCTCTCTAACCACAGAGGGTGGGTGGCCGGAGGAGACATGGAATTCACCAGGGGCATCGTACAGAACTAAAACTCCTGTCTTAGGTAGTTGCTTGTCAAACTACTATGTTTAAGAATCACCTAGAAAGAACATAACAAATACAAACATCCAATCTCATCCAGAGATTCTGATTCAGTTGGTCTGGGCTGTGGCCTTGGAATTGGCTTTTTTTAAAAAAAATCCTCACCTGAGGATATTTTTCTATTTATCATCAGACAATGTGGGAGGGAGGAAGAGAGAAGGGGAGAGGGAGAGAGAGAGAAACATAGATGTGAGAGAGATACATCGACTGGTTGCCTCCCGCACGACCATACCAGGGCTGGGGATGAAATGCCACTGAGGTATGTGCTCTTGGCCGGAATCAAACCCACGACTCATTGGTCCACCAGTCGACGCTCTAACTGCTGAGCCAAGGTGGCCAGGACAGAATTCGCATTTTTCAATGAGCAGCTAGGCAGTTCCTACAGGTGGGTGGAGCACTGTACTTTGAGAGACACTACTCTAGGTAAAGATGAAAAACATTCTTACAGTTTAATTCTTTTTTTCTTCCTCTTGATAATGGCTTCCATCATAGTCTTCTCTGAGGGCAAGGTACACAAGCCTAGAAGACAAGAGGCTGGTTTGAGCTGTGGGTTTGATTCCGTAGCATCACTTTTAACTAGTGGGTTGGTTCCTACAATGAGACTGTGACTGTTTACCCGTGTTACACCAGTCAGGGCTGCTACTGTTGAACTTCAGGGTGCACCATGCCCACTAGGTTCTATATGGAGCTGCCCTGGGGCACAGGCTGCAGCATGAACTCTGGGGTGGGGAAGGGAGGGGCTGAGCCTGGAGAGAGCAGATGAGCCCGAGGAGTCGGACACATGCCAGTGCCTTGCGCCCTAGAGATGGGAAGCCCTGGGAGGTTTTCAGCAGCAGCAGGTCAGATTTGCCTGTGCAAAGATCCTTCTCACTGCTGGATTTTGGAAAATGGGCTCCACGGAGGTGAGTTTAAAGGCAGCCAGACCAATCGAGGGACCGCTGAAGTAAACCTGGTGAGAGAGAGGGGGGCGCACACCAAGTGGGGCGATGGAGAAGCTGAGATCTCAGTTCCTTAGAGCATGTCCCTGGGTGCTCTGGCTGAAGAGCTTTCTTCTTTAAAAATATGTTTTCATTGATTTTTAGAGAGAGGCTGGGAGAGGGAGAGAGAGAAACATCTATGAGAGAGAAGCATTGATGGGCTGCCTCCCATACGCCCCCTACTGGGGATCGAGCCTGAAACCCAGGCATGTGCCCTGGTGGGGAATTGAACTGGCAACCTCTCAGTCCATGGGACGACACTCAATCCGCTGAGTCCCACCGGATGACTTTTATGTGTAGCCAGATTTGGGAAAAGTTGATCTACCACCCCTCTCTGCCTCACATGTTGTGTTCTAGGAATGTTAGACAGCTTGTAAGTCTCCATACGCGTCATGCCTGTGTCGTCTGCCTCAAGCGACTCCCTTTTATCCCCCGAGAAGCTCAGTCCTCTAGGAGGTTTTCCTTGACCACATGCCCTCCCCTTGTCTCACTCTGCCCTTGCTAAGCCCCTTCCTGTTCTTCCCCTCATTCCATGCACCCCTCCAACCAAGCATCTGTCTCACTATATTAAAATGATCTGTTTCGCCCTGGCCGGTTTGGCTCAGCGGTTAGAGCGTCGGCCTGCGGTCTGGAGAGACCTGGGTTCAATTCCCACTAAGGGCACGTACTTCGGTTGCAGTTTGTCCCCGGCCCTGGTTGGTCGTGCAGGTGGCAGCCACTCAATGTGTCCCTTTCACGTCGATGTTTCCCTCTCTCTCTCTCTTTCTCTCTCTCCCTCCCACTCTGTCTGTACAAAAAATGGAAAAATGTCCTCAGGTGAGGATAAAAATAAAATAAAATAAAATAAAATAAAATAAAATGATCTGTTTACATTTCTCTCTATTCCCCCAGGTTCCAACACAGGGCTAGGTATTCAGTGTTTTTGTTCAGTTAAATGGACCTTGGGGTCAGCGGGGACTAGCCTTCTGAGAAGTAGAAAGTGCTACACAGACGCTTAGATAGAAATCTCTGTAATTTTGGGACGTTGTAGGGCTCTGTGAGGTTCCACTGCTCAGGTATTGAGAGCGAATTTGGAGTGAAGTGTTGGGGTAGGCCCTACATCTCTTGGTTTGCACATATTCTGAGGAATGTATGAACATCATAAAGGTAAAACAGAAGTCACAGATGTTTGCCTGCTTAGCGGTCCTTTCAGGACTCAAATTAAAGACACCATCACTTAACTTTATGCCAGTCAAAATCCAGGGAGCTTTCTAAATGTTTTAAAGGAATGATTGCAGATGTTTATTATTATCGTATCTTTGTATTGGTTATTGTGTGACTTCTCCACTAATGTCACAGGATGCAGATTTTATGAGAACAGCCAAGGTTGGCAACCTTCTCGTCTAAACTCCTTACGGAGCAAACGCCACCGGGTGTGAAACCCTCCGCCACTCACTCACCTTTGAAAACTCTCGTCGCCCAACGAGCTTGAAGTTCAGCAACTGGGAAAATGGAACCTAGGGGCTGGCAGAGACCAATGCAGGCAAGGGTTGACTTCTCCAGGTGAGGAGGGAACATGTATTTATACATCAAGATCATATTATCCTCGACTTTAATAAGCGAGTCTTCAAGGAAGGGAAAAGACAAAGCGTAGCCTGTTGCAAAGACAATGACATCGATGTCCTCTTCCACCGTCCCATCCTCAAAGATGGCAGAAGTTTCCGTGAACTCTGTCACTCTTGATTTCATCTTGATGCTTCCACAGACTATGCGACTTGGAAGATCTTCATTCACTATAGGTTCTTTTATAAGGTATCTGAAACACACAGAAGAAAACACTCGGAAGGAGCATTTAATGAGGAGTCTTGACCCCTCTTGATAGTCTATAGGGTTGGCTCTGAAAATAAAGAGGTTTCTCAAATATCCATAAAACTGTCTAACTCGAGCCTGGCCGGCGTGGCTCAGTGGTTGAGCGTCAACCCATGCACCAAGAGGTCACCGGTTTGATTCCCGGTCAGGGCACATACCCAGGTTTTGAGCCCGATCCCCAGTGGGGGGCATGCAGCAGGCGGCCAATCGATGTTCTCGCTCATTGATGTTTCCCTCTCTCTCTCTAAAATCAATAAAGAAAAATAACAACAACAAACTGTCTAACTCGATTAATTGGCTAGCCCCCATATCATCGATCTGACTTTATTTTCATGTCACATATCTCTCCCCTCAGCAAGGGGAAAACATGTTGGTGACGGGGGTAAAAGATATTTCAGAAAAGGAAGCATCCTCAAGGGCTCAGACAATGTGTGGGTGTGTGTGGTCAGCCCGAGTATCCCTGTGGTTATTAGCCCATTGTGGGTCCTACCATTACTTTCTGTTATCTGCCTTTAAAGATCTTGCTGTTCCGTTTAATCGCTACCTGACCATAAGAAAGGGAAAATGTGTTAAAGTCCTATCAGTGTTTAAAAATTAGTAAGGAATCAGTGTGAACATTAATGTATAGAATTAATGTATAGAATTAATGTATAGAATTAAGCTTGGGGATAGTTGTTAATTTCAAATAAGCATGACGTCTCTGTATGGGACGGCAGGGGCAGAGAAGCAATGTCTGCTTGTATTTGTTAAATTATCTACTTGTAGGTTTAAGCACCATTAAAAAATATGTATATAGCCCTGGCCAGTTTGGCTCAGCAGTTAGAGCATCGGCCTGCAGACCGGAGAGTCCCCGGTTCGGTTCCCGCTAAGGGCACGTACCTCGGTTGCAGTTTGTCTTCGGCCCCAGTTGGGATTGTGTGGGTGGCAACCACTCGATGTGTCTCTCTCACATCGATGTTCCCCCTCACAACTCTATCTGAAGATAAATGTAAAAATGTCCTCAGGTGAGGATTAAAACAACAGAAATATGTATATATATATGTCAATACATGTACATGTGTCAGATCTCAGAATACAGCAGTCACATGGCATTTGTTGAAAGAGTCTAAAATTCTTCTGTTGTTTTTTTTTTAAGGGAAAGGGCCTGTTATCAACTAAAAAAAAAATAAACATCTATAATATTGGCTTGTGTGTATAGGCCAGTGATGGATAACTTTGAGAGGAATAGAGATTTATTTTTGGGGGCAAAGAGACAGGGATGATGTTCTCAGAAGCTGCCCATGGGAAGAGGCCTCGTGATACGCAGAGTTAGCAAAGCATGAATCGTCGGCTAGAGGGTCAGACACAGGGTCCCCAGCACAGCCCTCTGAGAGGAAGGCCACAGTCTCAGCAGCTCGGAATGTTAGCACGTTCTTTCCATGACCCGGTTCTGCACTTTGGAGCAGCTCCGACCATTTCTACTTGATCGTCTTAAGTGTTCACTGTTTTAAAGGCACGCAGATAAATGCGGAGACCGCAGGGCCTAGAGGGTCCCTCTGCTCTTAGGCGTAGCTTGAACTGCCCACCTTAGCAGTTTGGCCCTTTGCCAAGAGCGGCGCCTCTGACAACCTTGCTTACCCACCAGTATACCATAAAAAAGCAAAATAACTCTACTTGTTTTGAGGCTGGAGGCCATACATTTTCTGGTCGAACGACTGGCTTATCTGTCGTTCCAGTGCCCATATTAGAACCGTGAGTGGCAGGACGTTCTGGAGCATGGAGCGAAACCGCGTGTGGAACACCAGGTCCCAGGGATAGCCGTGTGCAGCGATGCGGCTGATGACCCAGGAACCGTGCCTGGTGCTGAGAAACACCTGGTAGGCAGACACAAAGACAGCTGACGCTGGGGCATCACCCTTCCCGGGAGGCCCTGCACCCCACGTGTGGCCCCAGCACCCCCTGGTCTCCGAGCGCAGTACCACCTAGTTCTCGCTGTTCTGTGGCAACTTTGTCATAGAAGAAGGACCCCGTGGCAGTCACACGGAGAGAAGAAGACTACAGCAGTTGTGGGAATGTTCACAACCACCCTGGACAGCCTTTGGGCCAATACCAGTCAGAGTCCACAAGGCTCTGCCACGTCCACAGCTGTGGTTTGGTCCTCCTTCCCCCTCCTGACCTTTCTACCTGCCCAGGTTTGTCGTTTTGTTTTTTTACTGCGAAAGTAAATAATCACAATCCTAGGACTGTAGTGACACCGCAGCGACCGTCCGGACGCGCGGCTCTGTGCCCCTGGCGTGGGGGGACCAGGGGGCGCGGGCTCCCTCCGGCCGCCCTCGGGGCCGCACCTGCGAGGCCTTCCTGCTCAGCTCCGCGGCGACGTCTGAGGCGGAGTTTCCCAGTCCGATCACCAGCACGCGCTTCCCCTCGAACCCCTCCGGCTTCTTGTACTGGCGGCTGTGGAGGTGCGGGCCTCTGAACCTCTCTATGCCTTCGGGAGGAGGAAGACAGAAGCCCGTCAGCATGCCAGATCAGTTTCAACAAAACGGCATCGTCAGTTTCTCCTCCGTGGGGGCAGTCTTGTACTTTTGCCTCTTCCTCTCTCGGGGGAGTTACAATAGCAAGGCCAACGGACGCTCTCAAAAGTATGAAGCAGATGAGAAGCGTTGGGCTCAGGATGTGGTCCAGGACCAAAAGAGCTCCCAGGAACTTTCCCCACTGATTGTGCAGTTCTGTGGGCCAGGCTCAGAGGCCAGAACCAGGTCACAGGTGTTCGGCAGGAGGGAAGAGGCCAGGGAAGGCGCGGGGCTGGACGGGCCTCTCCGACAGAGACGCCGCGAGGGCGCACGCTCTCTGGCATCTGCGCTCTGGAGGAGGCTCGCTGGACTGCTGTGTAACAAAGACGGGGTGCGGGGTCTTTCTGGCTCTTTCCCTGTCATCATGCTGTGCCCAGTTGCAGCCGCCGATTCTGCCCGTCAATCCAAACTGCATGGGAAGCACCTGCACCCCTGCTCTGAACCCCCGGGGTCCCCGGCTCACCTGGAAAAGCCTCCAGGGGGACATGCGGGACGGTGTAGAGGCCGCTGCAAACCATGACCGCGTCGAAGATGGCACTTTGCTCCTGGCCCTTGCTCTCGGTGACAACCTCCCACTGGCCGGAGGACGAGAAATCCGGGCATTCTTTCACGCTGAGGACCGTTGTCTTAAATGAACACAGAGAAGGCACCATTGAGAATTAACCTGGTGTGACAGGGGCCTTGTCCAGTGCCCTGGGAGGGGGCTGGGGAGAGGGCCCTGCGCGCTTCCATTTAACTCCGTTTCAAACCAGTCAGGCAAAGACTGCTAAGCGTGGCTTCTTCTTCTTCCCTGGCAGGGGGCTGCCTGCTGCCACATGCCGCTGCGTGCGAGCGGCCCGCTCGGCGGACGCAACGGGAGCTGGAGCGACACGCAGGAGGGGAAGGTAGGCTCTGGGTAAGTGCACAGCCCATGTGCACCATTCAAGTGATCACACAGTCAGCGTTTATCAAGAACCCTTTCTGTGTCCACCTCTGTGCAGACACGGTCAGAGGAGATGTTTCCCGGGAAGCAATGTCACAGTGCCTGGCATCGTGCCAGCACTCGGTGAGCAGTCCTCGTTCACGCTGCGTGTCTTTAGAACAGGGTCCGTCCCGATAGCAATACTGTTCATGATCTCATTCGGACGGACTGATGTATTGGTTTGTTGATTTTTTAAAATGTAGCTCACTGTCTGGAGGTCTCTGAGTTTTAATTAATTTATTTATTAAAAAATGTTAATGTTGCCCGGCTGGTGTGGCTCAGTGGTTGAGCATCGGCCCATGCACCAAGAGGTCGCCGGTTCGATTCCCAGTCAGGGCACATGCCCAGGTTGTGGGCCAGATCCCCAGTGGGGGGCATGCAGGAGGTGGCCAATTGATATTCTCTCTCATCGATGTTTCCATCTCTCTCTCCCTCTCCCTTAAAGAATAATCAATAAAGAAAAAAAAAAACTAATAAAAATAAATTTTAATGTTGACATAATTGCAGACTTTCCTCATTTCCCCCCACTTTTGCCCATTTCCACCTCCCCCCGCCTCCCCATCCATTGGCCCTCATCACAGTAGTGTCCGTGTCTGTGGGCTCTGCACATATACTCTCTAGCTAATCCCTTCACCTTCTCTATCCAGCCCTCCCCCCTCCAGCCTGTTCCGTGTATGCATGCTTCTGGCTCCATTTTGTCCGTCAGTTTACTGTGTTCATTAGATTCCACGTGTCAGTGAGGTCATACGGTATTTGTCTTTCCCTGACTGGCTTACTGCACTTGTCTGTGAGATTTTAAAAGTGAAACTCTAGGTCATGTGTCTGCGTAAGGAACAGTGTCCCGTGGAAGCCAAGCCCCGCCCCTTCTAGAGGAGCGGCACACTTCTCCAGGCTGCACGCCCTCCGGTCTCCAGGCCTCCTTTGCACATCTTCAGATACTTTGCAAAATCTGGCATTGGTCATTTTTGAGGCTGTTCAAATTTAAAAATGTATATGGAATATTAATATAAAGCTTATGAAAGTACTACAGAGTGTCTGGGCATTTTCAGCAGAGAGGCAAGATTTTAGATTTGTAGTCCAGAGTAGAGTCGTAGCTCAAGTGCTTTGGATTCTCGGCTGTTCGAAATGCGGTTTGGGGACTGACACCTTCAGCATCACTCGGGAGCTGATTGGACATGCAACAGAGCCAACAGTTTACATTTTGAGTTGAGCCCTAAAATGTTAGGAGACCAGTACATGGAAATGTATCAGAGGCAAATACACGGAAATGCCTTTTCCTCACCCCTCTCCGGCCTCCGGAGAACAGTAACAGCAGTGAACAAGGGAACGGGTTTCTTTGCAACTCTGACATGGTCTTTCAAAGAACAGAGCATATAAATCACTTATCATAAGAGGGCAATATATCTATTAAATAGATTGATAGCTAAGTAGACAAAGACCTATAAAAGCTTTGGTATTAAGAATCTATCATTTATAGGATGGATAGACCTGGAATTGGGAAAAAACTACACTAGATGGAACTGGACATTTTAATGGTACTTACAAATACAGATTTTCACCAAAATCAACTATTTTAAATTACTATAATACAAACCTGGGACTGAACTAAAATTCCTGAGAAACTGAGATGTGTTATAATAAAACAAACAAACAAACAAAAAACCAAAACTCAGTTCCACTAAGAGTTATTCAGAGATGTAATTAAAATTTTGTTTCCTAAGCATAGTCACTAGTTCTCAGAATGTAAGTTTTAATAAAAATGTAGCACATTAAGTGAGATATTGGTTGTTGTTGATTACGTGTCTTTCAGAAAACACAGGAAAGGTAGTTCTAATTATATTTCAAAACGATTTGGCCATCTCTGTCTTGCAAGAGATTGCATCCAGAAAAAAAAACAAAAAACAAACCTAGCAAAAATAGTTTCCATGGGCTTCTTAGGTGAATGGAGACCTGTGAGTTTACTTAGCACTTTTTCCAAAAAGTTCTATTTCTATAGGGAAGGTGAGAAACTGGTCCCTCATTGATAATAAGTTAAATAAAATTGTTGACACACCTTTATTTAAAAAAATGAAATAGAAGTTTGATATTTTCCATATGTTTTAAGGGAAATGAGGACATGACTCTTAGTGGTTATGAATATTAGTTAAAATGCACTCTCACCATCATTATCATCACCATCCAAACCTCTACCTTTAACACATGGTTTTACTCTCCGGTTAACATGTACGCTTTACAATATCAGGGTAATGACATTCTTGTCGGGTCTTCTATCATGCTCTTATCTTTTGGCAAAGAACTGGACTGGGATACTTTGTTTTATAGACAGTTTCTTTCATTATTAGAGTAACCTCACTATTTAAATGTGATCTGCTGTAGAGAAGCCCCCCCCCCCCCCTTGCAACACAATACCTGGAACTGAATATATTTTAGAAGATCAAACTTCTTGGCAAACATTCTGAAATATTCCAGGAGCTTAGAATGGTGCAGAAAGTTTGGGAAATCATCCGGCATTGGGAAGTCACTGAAACAGGACATTTCTTTGCTGGTGTTGGCAATGACAGATTGATAGATACTCGGTCGGCCATCTTCAACAATTTCCTAAAGGATAAAATACAAGTGATAATCATGCATTAAAAAAAATATCCCTTGGTTCCTACTCTTCTCCTAAGTCTAACCCGTGGGTGATGGGATCCTCTTGGGTGCAGTACACATGTCCTGTCATCCTGTGCAGTGAGGCCCAAGTGGGGCCTCTCAGCGTGGCTTGGGAGCGGCAGCCATCCTCTCTGGCCATATTTAGCACCCCAGGTCTCTACCTTTTTAATGTCAGTCATTGTGACAACCAGTCCCTTCTGAAACTCCCCCTGGGGAAGCTCTACCCACCTTCCACCTCTTTACGAACCAATAAACCCTGGGACATCGGTCAGAGAACGTAATAGAGGATTTCAATTGAAATGTGTGCTTCGGGGCCAGGGAGTTTTCACAACTTGACCCGAACCCCCTTCCTTCCCTGTATGCTTTCTGCAAGGCTGCCTTCCCCAGGCGATAAAGGTGCACAGCACTGATACCAGCCGGGCCTCGAACTTGATGTTACGTGGTAGTGAGTATGCTTCAGTAAAACCGGAGGCAGTACAAGCCACGGCTGAGTTAATCTCCTCTGCAGGAACCGCTCTGCTTAACGATAAAGTCTCTTATGTGAAATCACAACAAGAGCCGAGGATGAGTGATTCAGTGTCCCTGAAATCAGCATGTTATCAAAGAGGCTTTTATAAGAAAATTCAAATTATACCTCCCAAGGGCTCCTCAATAGATGCTTCTGCCCATGCAGAGACTAAGGCATGATCCAGGCAAAGGTAGTTGCTGTTATGACTCAGCATGAGGGTGGGGGGTGAGGAAATGTAAAGGTGAGGACTTCCGGTCAAGATGGCACATAGGTAAACGCGGTCTCGCCTCCTCCCACAACCACATCAGAATCACAACTAAACCACAGAACGACCATCATTCAAAGCCACCTGAAATGGAACTGGATGGAAGTCCTACAACTACAAAGTTGAAGAAGCAGCCACAGGGAGACTGGTAGGAGGGGCAGAGGCATGGATGGGCTGGTCCCATACCCACGTGTGGTGGATAAAAATCAGGAAGTATGGCTGGGAAGGTCCTCCCTGAGGATTGGGGGGGTGGGGTCCCTGTTTCACACCAGGCCACCAGCTCAGGGTTCCAGTGCCAGGAAGAGAATCCCCATCACTTCTGGCTGGAAAACCAGTGGGAACTGAGGCTCAGGGAGGCTGAGGCTGCTGGAGCCCCAGGCAGCTCCTCTCTTTTTTTTTTTCACTCCTCACCCGAGGATATTTTTCCATTTATCTTCAGATAGAGTGGGAGGCGGAGAGAGAGAGGAAGAGAGAGAAGCATCAATGTGAGAGAGGCACATTGACTGGCTGCCTCCCACATGACCCCTACCAGGGCCGGGGATGAATTGCAACTGAGGTACGTGCCTGTGACCGAAATCGAACCTGCAATTCTTCTCAGGCTGACGCTCTAACTGCTGAGCCAAACCGCCCAGGGCTAGGCAGCTCCTCTTAAAGGGCCCTGAGGCCCTGCCCTACCCAACTTTCAGGCCCACCCAAACGGTTCCCAATGGCTTTACTATAGGATTGGTCTGTCTTGGCTCCTGTTTCAGATTTTCCTAAATGCTCTCAGACAAGCAGCATCTGGCCTCCTCGAGCCCCATACCTCTCACTAAGTGGCTCCAGGCCTGGCACTAGAAGCAGCCAGCCTTGGTTCAAAACTTGGCTTTGCCTGGGCACCTCCAAGCCCAGCACAAGAAGAAGCCATCTGCAGATCACTTTGTAGCTTAGGCCTGGTGGCCCCGGATAGAACACAGGTGGTGGCTGACCTTGCCCCAGAGCGAGCACACCCAGTGGACAGTGTCAGACCACGGCGAAGCACCACCACCCAACCACCTCCACAAGTGACACACTCAAGGAATGGACTCAGTGGGTACCAGAGCCCTGCTGAAGTAAGTCTTGCTCTGTGTGGTGGGCCCTGCACAGCTGATCCTCCAAGGTAGTCAGAGGCCAGTGGTCAGTGGGCACAGCCAGTCCTTACAGCTGATCAGCCTGAGTAAATCCCTCCCATTGATGTGCCAACAGCAATCAAGACTCAATTACAACATAAGGGTATAAAGTCCACACAAGGGGTGCACCTCAAGGGCCCAGCTAGGGTGACCGGGGAGGCTGTGCCACTGGACCCTAGAGGACACCTACTACAATAGGCTACCCTAGAAAGCCCAAGAGACATAGCAACTCTACCTAATACATAGAAACAAACACAGGGAGGCCAACAAAATGAGGAGACAAAGAAACATGTCCCAAATGAAAGAACAGAACAAAACTCCAGGAAAAGAACCAAACAAAATGGAGATAAGCAATCTAACAGATGCAGAGTTCAAAACACTGCTTATAAGGATGCTCAAGGAACTTAGTGAGGACCTCAAGAGCATAAAATAGGACCAGTCAGAAATGAAGGAGGTGCTAACTGAAATAAAGAGTAATTTACAGAGATTTCATAGTAGAGTAGGTCAAGCCAAGAAGCAAACCATCGATTTTGAATATAAGGAAGTAAAAAACACCCAAACAGAACAGCAAAAAAAAAAAGAATATTAATAAAAAAAAAAATCCCCACGAAGATTGTGTAAGAAGCCTCTGGGACAACTTTAAGCATATCAACATTTATATCATGGGGTTGCCAGAAGGAGAAGAGAGAGAACAATATATTGAAAACCTATTTGAAATACTAATGACAGAAAACTTCCCTAACTTGGTGAAAGAAACAGACATACAAATCCAAGAAGTACAGAGAGTCCCAAACAAGATGAACCTCAAGAGGCCCACACCAAGACACATCATCATCAAAATGCAAAAGTTTCAAGACAAAGAGAGAATCTTAAAAGCAGCAAGAGAAAATCAGTTAGTTACCTATAGGGGAACTCCCATAAGACTGTCAGCTGATTTCTCAAAAGAAACTTTGCAGGCCAGAAGGGAGTGGCAAGAAATATTCAGAGTGATTGTGCTGTCATGTTTATAACCCCATAATTGATGATTGGTAAATCATTGTGCTGCTCCATAATTGATGATTGGGAAAGTCACTGTGTGCCCTCTAGCTGAACCTGTTTCGTCAAAATAACCTCAGTAAATTGAAATACTCCCTGAAGCAAGAAATTATTGGGAGCCGGCTACGTGTCTGATAGAGTCCACAGAGCCTGAAGGTCTTGAGTCAGAGACCTGACCTTCCCCACAATCTCAGGACTCAGGCTTGCATTGTGTTTGTGCAGCACGGGGCCAAGTGTGACCCAATGTACCTTGAAATACCTGAGTGTTCTTGGGTGTGCCTAGGTGTTCCTGTTATCCGTAAGGCAAACATTCTATACAGCATTGTTGTAGCCCTGGGCATTTTATCAAGAAGATCCTATTTGCTGTCAGGTATCAAAGGCAGTAATAAAGCATATCGGGGCTGATTCTGAAGACTCTGTCACAGGGGTGTTTGGAATCAGACACCGGCAGGCTGATAAACGGCTCTCATTTGGACTTCAGTTCTCTAGTGGTCTTTCTTTGACTCTGTGGCACCACAACATTTGGAGGCCCCAGGGCTGGTCTCTGAGAACTCGGGATCAGTCACCGGCCGGCTCTGCTCTCTATTTGGCTTTAATTTGGCTCTGGTGGTCTCTCGGTCCTCTTGCGCCACAACATGATGAAAAGCAAAAACCTACAACCAAGATTACTCTATCCTGCAAAGCTGTCATTTAGAATCGATGGGCATATGAAGAGTTTCCCAGACAAGAAAAAGCTAAAGGAGTTCATCACCACCAAACCAGTATTATGTGAAATATTGAAGGGCCTTCTTGAAGAAAAAGAAGGTAAAAAATATGAACAATAGCCCTGGCTGGTTTGGCTCAGCAGTTAGAGTGTCGGCCCGCAGACCAGAGAATCCCAGGTTTGGTTCCCGCTAAGGGCATGTACCTCGGTTGCAGTTTGTCCTTGGCCCCGGTTGGGGTTGTGTGGGTGGCAGCCACTCGATGTGTCTCGCACATCAATGTTTCTCTCTCTCTTCCTCCCTCCTGCTCTATCTGAAGATAAATGCAAAAAAAAAAATATGAACAATATAATGACAATAAATACATATCTATTGACAATTGAATCTACAAACAAAATGAACAAGCAGAACAGAAACAGACACATAGATACAAAGAACATTTTGTTGGTTGCCGTATGGGAGGGGGGTTGGGGAAATGGGTGAAAAAGGTGAAGGGATTAAGAAGTGCCAATTGGTTGTTAGACTGACAAACCTCAAAGGGAAGTGGGGAGGGAGGTGAGAAGAAATAAACTAAAGAACTTTTGGACCAATGGACACAGACAACAGTGTGGGATAAGGCAGGTGTGGGGAGGAGGGGGTCAATAGGGAAAAAAGGAAGAAGATCTGTAATACATTCAACAATAAAGAAAGGGTTTAAAAAATGTAAATGTATTAATTCATTTAAATAAATTACTTAATCTTATGCACACAGCACTATAGTCTCTTCCACAGAATAGTAAATAAAGTGAAGTAAATATTCAATTGTAATCTCATGAACAGAATACATCAAATGTCTGTGTTCTTTTCTCATCCTGATTCATAGGAAGTTGTGACTTTCTTGCCAATCTTTAGATCTAGGTTCCTTAGATTTTTGGCAGTACTTGAAGAGGCATCTTGGACTAGCAGAAGGAGCTGGTCTTTGGAGTTAGACACAGGTTTAAATCCACCTCTTTCAGACCATGTGAGCCTGGACCAGACCAGTGCCTCAGCTGCAACATGCGGTGTACTATCTGCTCAGTGATTTTCTCTGTTGTCCCCCCCCCCCCCCACGACCAGTTCTCTCCTGGGCAAGTTGTTTATCCTGAACCTCAGATTCCTCTTCATATGTAAATGAGAAGAATAAAATACCTACTTCCTAGAAATACTGTGAAGAAAATGAGATGATGTGTAGGATGAGTCTTCCCATTGTTGAAAAAAGTGCAAGAGGTCAAATTACCCACCAGCCCCACTTTTCAAAGCCGCCACTAGGGGGTGCTGGAGAACCTTTGGGAAGAATTCAGCACCCTCTGAGCCGGGCGTGGGACCAGGGTTCTTACATCTTAACTTGTCACCACGAAGTGTGTAAACATAGAAGTGAAAGAACAACCTATTTTCAAAATTGATTCTTGAAGGAAGAGTGGTGAACAGGCAAAGTGGCCCCGGAAGTGGGTCGGGTCTCCTGGTAATCGAGACCCTCAGCAGTCCCATCGGTCTCTGGCATTTAGCGGATTGTGTGTTTCACTCTGCGGGGAGATTCGTGGTCTTCTTTGGGTAGAGAAAATTGTGTCCGTTTCTGCACTGAATATAGTGGTAAGCCAGGTTTGAAATGTGATACTGTTACAGCTTACATGGATCTGTGTACTTAACTATTTTATACCTAACAAGGCTTATTCATTTAAATTTTAATCTAACTTTTTAAAATTGACAGGACCAGAATAGGATAGCAGAAGAAATATTTTGGAGCAGAAAGTACTTTCCTAGAATTCACCAAATCATATTTTTGACAGATCCCTAAGAAAAAAAAAAATATATATATATCCCTCTCATCCCTCTGCTGCCAAATTAATAATAATTAAGTAAGGGACATTGGCTCTTTGATACTAAATCCCAAATCAGGTAATAAAACAAAACAGTAACAACTTTATTATTAAAAAGAAATTTGTCATACTTTCACCTTCTTCCTTAGGGTAAAAAATCTACCTGAGGAACAAAATCCCAAATGGAATCTGTATGTGAACTGAGAATGGACAAAAATAGCACATCATTGGTTAAACAGGAATGACCACCTGCTCAGAAAAGCTACACTAATTGTAATGAGCATTTGTCCATAAGAAATTAATGGGATTCAGCGGTTTCCAGCATCCTCTCTGCAAAGTTACCTGTTTCGGAATAAGCATCAAGCTCTCCCTTGTTAGTTCAGGTTGTGCTTGGATTGTTGAATGTATAGACTTTTAAAATTTAGTATTTGTGAAATTTTTGCCAAACTTGTCTCATCATGGGATTCGTTAGGGACTCCTGTTACGAATAGATTCCCCTCCTCAGAAGATTTTGATTCAGGAAGTCTGGGCTGGTGTTCAAAAATTCAGTAGTTAGCCCGCTGGGGTGGCTCATGCACCAAGAAGTCGCCAGTTCGATTCCCGGTCAGGGCACATGCCCAGTTTGTGTGCCAAATCCCCAGTGGGGTCATGGAGGAGGTGGCCATTGATGTTCTCTCTCATCAGTGTTTCTATCGCTCTCTCTCTCTCTCCCTTCCTCTCTCTCTAAAATCAATAAGGAAAAAAAAAATTCAGTATTAAAAAAAAAATCCCAGGTGTGTCTTATAGTTGGATACATTTGAGAAACCCAATGTAAAAATATCCCCTTTGGCATGAAATTCAGTTTGAACTGGCAAAGTGCACGTGCCGGATGTCCTTGCCATCCCCCTAAGTGGTCAGCTTGTAGGAAGAGCACTGTGGATGGTCCCTGCTGATACGAGGGTCTGCTTGTCATCCTCCCAACCCTTCGCTCCGTGTGAACCCCTCACTTTGATGTACCTGATACACAATCGTCAACTTGTCACCTGAGTTCTGAGCTGCGATTTTGTTTAACCTTACTTAGAAAATTAGGGCATGGTTATAAGGAGGGATTTAGCTTGGTAGGACTCATAGAGACCCAGATGTTAATATCGGTTTCTCCAGCTAAGTGACGGTGCCCACATCACGTAATCGCTTGTTTCTGTTTGCTTGTCTATCATTATTGAAGATAACATTTCTTGTACTCTATTGCAGGTGTTTGATATGAATTATCTCCATTAATCTTCAAAATAGTACTGACATAATCACATTTTTCTGTTAATATCTTCATTCTACAGCTGAATAAACAGACACAGGATGTCAATCACTTGCCCAAGATCTCACACTTGGAAGGTGGCAAGCTAGTACTTAAAAGATTGTGGGAGGAATAATTGTAAATCTTTACAGCTCTCTATCTAATATCGTTCTTTTAAAAATCCTTACATGAGGATAGTTTTTCTTTTTTTTTTAAAGGGGGAGGGAGGAAGAGAGAGAGAAACATCACGTGAGAGAGAAACATCACGTGAGAGAGAAACATCACGTGAGAGAGACACATCGATTGGTTGCCTCCCACACGACCCTGACTGGGGCCTGGGACCGAACCTGCAACCCAGGTACATGCCCTTTATCAGGAATCAAATTCGTGACCCTTTGGTACACAGGCTGACGCTCTAACCGCTGAGCCACACTGGCCAAGACGTCTATGTATCTTTCTAAGTTTTATACCAATTCTGAAGGACAGCTAGCATTACGATATTTGGGTTTGGCTAATAGCATGAGTTTAATAAATAGAATAGATTTAATAATATAGTTAAAGAGTTTCCCAGCAGTTACACTAGAGTATCATCAGTAAAGCTAAGCAAACATCTATTTGTCATAAAACAGCAAAAGTCAGTAGTAATAAGAGCACACGCTCTAAAAAAGCATTCTCTCAATGATTGGAATGACAATGGTGTCTTGAAAAGAATCCCCGTCACTTGTATTTTGTAAAATGTTCTCTAACGTTAGCATATTGCTTTGAGGATGAAAAAAAACTAGTGGGCTGCAAGACAGGGTCGTGAGGAGAGATGCTCTGATTCACCCTGCAACAGCAGCACAACCCATTCGAGGAACAAGGAGACCTCACTTACTTTGAACCTCCACAGGCCGCCGATATCTTCCGTCCTCTCAAAGCAGGTGGGCGCGAGTCCCTCCTCCAGACAGCACTTCAGAGAGATCAGCCCACTGGCGCCGGCTCCGATCACTGCCACCTTCTTGGCCATGGTCTCCTGCCAGGGAGTTGATCAGCCAGTGGCTGCTTCAGGGGGTGGAAGGTGAGAGAGTCCTTATGGTGTGGTTGGGTAATGGAAGTGAATTTCATAACCAGCCGTAACATAATGCCTCACTAGTCAGATTCCAAAGTCTCAGGCTTTTCTGCAAACCTTGTTTACAAACTCTTGGTTTAACATTTAAAAGCAGCCCGTTAGCCCTGGCCGGTTTGGCTCCGCCCATTGTCTTGTGGACTGAAGGGTTATGGGTTCAATGCCCGGTCAAGGGCCTGCACCTGGACTGCAGGTTTGTCCCTGCCCTGGTGGGGTTGTGCAGGAGGCAACCACTTGATGTGTCTCTCTCACATGGCTGGTTGCCTTAGAGTTCAGAGCGGAGCTTTTCCTCGTCAGTCCCTTGCCCCCGCTGTCATCCTTACCTCTGCGGTTGCCTTTCGGTGCTGTCTCTCACCCAGCAGTTCGCTCTGGTGGTTGGGTGCTCGGAGGCTGGGTTTTAAGAGTTGGAGGAGGCAGTGAGAACTGGGAGGAGCTTCTCGCTCCAGCAGCCTGCCAGCTAATCTCCAAGGGCTTTGTTAGTTGTGCAATCAAGCAAGGAGCCTACATTCTGAAGTTCAGGGCAGAGTGGAATGTCTTTGCGGTAACATCATATGTACACTTACGCGCATATCATACAGAGCTTAAAAACCATTGTTGTAATGGGTGTGGTCAATGTTCACTTGCAAATTAGCAAATCTAGATACTTGAAAAGAAGTTGAAATTACCCTAAATCCCATCATACAGAGATACATGCAACCGCTGATAACAATTTGGTATATCTTTCCAGATATTTATGTACATACACGTATGCACACAGAAACAAAATTGAAATCACACTCTAAGTATAATTTCCAACTTGATTTTTCACTTTCTAGTATCTCAGTACTATGCTGGCATGTTTATAACCCCATAATTGATGATTGGTAAATTATTGTGCTGCTCCATAATTGATGATTGGGAAAGTCACTGTGTGCCCTCTAGCTGAACCTGTTTCGTCAAAATAACCTCAGTAAATTGGAATACTCCCTGAACCGAGAAATTGTTGGGAGCCAGCTACGTGTCTGACAAAGTCCACAGAGCCTGGAGGTCTTGAGTCAGACACTTGACCTCCCCCATCATCTCAAGGACTCAGGCTTGCCTTGTGTTTGTGCAGCTCGGGGCGAAGTGTGACCCAGTGTACCTTGAAATGCCTGGGTGCTGCTGGGTGAGCCTGGGTGTGCCTGTTATCCATAAGACAAACTAATTCTGTACAGCTTTGCTGTGGCCCTGGGCATTGTATCAAGAAGATCCTATTTGCTGTAAGGAATAAAAGGCAGTAATAAAGCATATCGGGGCTGGCTCCGAAGACTCTGTCACAGGGGTGTTTGGAATCAGATGCTGGCGGGCTAATAAACAGCTCTTATTTGGACTTCAATTCTCCAGTGGTCTTTCTTTGGCTCTGTGGCACCACAACATTGGAGGCCCCAGGGCTGGTCTCCGAGAATCGGGATCAGTCACCGGCCGGCTTTGCTCTCTATTTGGCTTTAATTTGGCTCTGGTGGCCTCTCGGTTCTCTCGCGCCACAACAGTACCTTTATATCCATAGCAGCATTTTTAATGGCTGTGTGAATTTCCTTTAGTTGATGGATGAGTTATCCATCTAACAAATATTCATTTCTGCGTTTTAGGCGCTATTTCTGGCATATCACTGTGCCTGGATGAATAAACAGACAGTTCCTGGACCTCACAGGAATGATATACTTTCTCTGGCCCGGCTTTCTTAGCTCTGACAACTGCTGGATCCCGGCGCACTGTGCCTATCTCCCCCGAGATTGTCCACCCTGACCGCCCACATCTCCTCTTGATCTGCCTGCTTATGGGGGCCCTGGCTTGGATGGACCTCGTGGTCCTAAGATTTCCTGTCCATTTCCCTCTTTTTGGATTGATATGTAACTGGATAATTTACCTTGGTTTACAATCTCTTGTTAGCACTACCGTTAATTAAGAGAACTAAATCGACTGATCTACAACAAAAGAAGCAAGAATATAAAATGGGAAAAGGCAGTCTCTTCAATCAATGGTTTTGGAATAACTGCACAGCTACATGCAAAACGAACTGGACCACTTTCTTACACCATATGAAAAAATAAACCCACCTCAAAGCAGACTAAAGGTAAATGTAACACCAGAATCCATAAAATTCCTAGAAGGAAATATAGGTATTAAACTCTTAGACATCGGTGTTAGAAATATATTTTTGGACATGTCTCCCCAGGCAAGGGCAACAAAAGCAAAAATAAACCAGTAGGATTACATCGAACTTAAAAGCAGTGATAGTGAATGAAACCATCAACAAAACAAAAAGGCAACCCACTGAATTAGAAAAAAAAGTATTTGCAAATGATATATCTGATAAGGGGTTAATATGAAAAATATATAAAGAACTCATACAATTCAATATTTAAAAAAACCAAAAAATTTGATTAAAAAAATGGGCAGAAGACCTGAATAGACATTGTTCTGATGAAGACATGCAGGCGTCCAACAGACACATGAGTAGACATCACTGGACATCAGGAAATGCAAAGCCAAGCCACAGTGAGCTGTCTATCACCTCGCACCTGTCTGTCACATTGGCTCTTATCAAAACAGAAAAAAGTAACAAGCGTTAGCAAGGGTGTCTAGAAAATGGAATCCATATATTGTAGGTGAGGTTGCCAACTGGTGCAGCCACTATAGAAAACAGTAGAGAGGTTCCTCACAAAACTAAAAATAGAACTACCATATGACCCAACAATTTCACTTCTGGGTGTCTATCTGAAGAAAATGAAAACACTAATTGAAAAAGATATATGCATTTCTACATTTACTGCAGCATTATTTACAATAGCCAAGACATGGAAGCAACTAAGTGTCCATTAACAGATGAATATATAAAGATGTGACACACACACACATACACACGCATGCACTTTCTCTGGATTATTATTCAGCAATAAAAAAGCAATTTCATTACTCAGCAATGACATCTTGCTATTTTTGATATGGATGGAGCCAGAGTGTGCTATGCTAGGTAAAATAACTCAGAGAAAGACAAATACCATATGATTTCACTTATATGGGGAATCTAAAAAAAAAAGACAAAACAAATGAACAAACCAAACAAAACAGACACAGTTCCATAGATGCAGAGAACAAACTGGTGGTTGCCAGAGGGGAGGGGTGAGAGGGGGAAAAAAGTGAAGGGGAATAAGAGGTACAGACTTTCAGTTATAAAAGAAATAAGTCACAGGATGTAGTATACAGAACAAAGAACATAGTCAATAATATTGTAATAACTTTGCATGGTGACAGATAGTTACGAGACTTACTGTGTTGATCATATCATAAGGTATATAAATGTTGAATAACTATGTTGTACACCTTAAATTGATCTAATATCGTATGCCAACTGTACTTTCTTAAAAATTAAAAGAAAAAGTTTCTTTTGTGTCTGATAACTTGAAACAGAGCAGTTTCTTAACTTTGAACCTTTCTACCAATCTCATTTGAAAATCAGTGATTATCATTGATAATGAACTGGTGAAAAGGCTTTATATATTCTACTTGTTGATGAGTTTGCCAGCTATAGTTCTTACACTAGATTCAGTCCCAAACATCCCCACACACCTACATTCTATACACATTCACATGTACCCAAACAGATGATCCAGCTAAGTACCCCGCCACGAGAATGAAGTGCCTTTCGACTTAGCGATGCCCTACCCCCTTGTCAGTCCTCAGTGTTCTTTTGTCCTCATATCATTTTGCATAATTGGTCAAGACGAGAGGAAGGGACCTACTTATGTCTGTCTGTTACACAGGACCATGTGCACACGTTTTAAGTACATTCCATCAGATTTAGTTGGCGGACAATTAATATTGTCCATTTGCTTGACTAAGATACCAACAAGTCGAATTTGCCAAAGAAATTTCTAGTTGGCTATAATATTGCAGGTCAGAAGGTTCAACACTGTACCTACCTACACTTCTGCCAGAGTCTTGGTTGGGGAAAATACCTCTCTAGGATTGGATTTGGGCCACGAAGGAGGTTCTCATACCCTGAAACATGTTCCTGAAACATAGACACCCCCACTCAAAATAATATCCTTTTTTCTTGTTTCCCCCAAATGTCACTATAAGTTCCTAGACCATTATTTTTTCTATCATATGACTATCCAGTTGTCCCAGTACCATTTGTTGAAAAGACTGTTCCATCTGCATTGAATTGTCTTACATAAAGGAACACATTGCTGCAAAGATGCATACTGCCACAGCTTTCCCGAGAAGAAACATAACCCAAGTAACCTTATATCTATTTTTTTTTTTTTTTTTAATCCTCACCCGAGGACATTTTCCCATTTTTTGTACAGATAGAGTGGGAGGGAGAGAGAGGAAGGGAGAGAGAGAGAGAGAAACATCGACGCGAAGGGACACATCGAGTGGCTGCCACCCGCACGACCAACCAGGGCCGGGGACAAACTGCAACCGAGGTACATGCCCTTAGCGGGAACCGAACCCGGGTCTCTCAGGACCGCAGGCCGACGCTCTAACCGCTGAGCCAAACCGGCCAGGGCATAACCTTATATCTATTAAAGAACTTGAAATCATAGTTTAAGATTCTCCCCACAAAGAACTTTAGGTCAAGATGGCTTCACTGGTAAATGCTACCAAATATTTAATGAAACTATAATGCCAATATACACAACTCTTCCACATAAGTAAAGAGGACGGAATACTCTCCAACTCATTCTATTAGGCCATCATTACACTGATACCAAAACCAGACAAAAAATATTATCAAAAATAAAATACAAATCAATTTCCCTTATAAACACTGATGCACAAATTCATGGCAAATGCTAACTACTATAATCCTACAATATATAAACTGAATAGTTAATATGTCATGACCAAGTAAGGTATACTCCAGGAATGCAAGGTTGGATTAATCGTGCATGGAATTCACCATATTTATAAACTAAAAATTAAAAATTACATGATCATCTTAATGATGCAGAAAAAAGCATCAGACAAAAGCCAACATCTATTCTTGATGTCAGCAAAATAGGAATTAAAGGAAACTTTCTCAACCTGAAGGTCATTTATGAAAAAATGTACAACTAATATTGTACTTAATGATAGAAGACTGATGCATTATTCCTGAAATCAGGAACAAGCAAGTATGTCTGATTTCACCACTTCTATTCAACATTATACTGAAGTTTCTATCCTGTGCAATAAGGCAAGAAAAAGAAATAGAAGACACTCAATTGGAGTGGGAGGGAAAAAAACACTATCTTTATTTTCAGACAACATGATTGTCTATGTAGAAAGTATTGTGTAATCTACATAAAAATTCATAGAACAAGTAATTGCATTTCTGTATTTTAGTAATAAACAGTAGGAAATTGAAAAAAATTAAACTACTATTTATAACATCCCAAATATAAAATACTTAGGATAAATCTGACATAGGATGGGTAAGACTTATACACTAAACACTCTAAAGCCCTGCTGAGAGAAATTAAAGAGGATATAAGTGAATGGAAAGATACAATGTGTCATAGATGGAAGACTCAACACGGTTGTGATGTCAATTCTCCCAATGACAAAACACCCTTTAAAAAGTCTATTAATCTTTGTTCAACCTGCAAAGCTGTGCTCACTCCCATTCACTCTCCCATCTTCTTTATCTCAAGCATCTCTAAACTTGTCCATTCCACATGTGGAAAGCCTTATGGAGTATAGATTTTCATGAGATAGGAGATGCTAAATATTTTTCATTTTATTTGGACTTGGAGTTAAATGGGCCAGAATTAATTTCTACATCTGCAGGAATGGAAAGAGCGGCCAAGAGATTTTATATGTATGTATATATGGGCATATCTGTAACTAAACGTCTGGGACAAATTCTGATACCCAGAGTACCTTCTCGTTAATAAAGTGCAAGCAAAACAGGCAGAAGAAGCAGTGGGAATAAAAGCATTTTAAGCAAGTTGTAAATAGGTTGGGGTCTGTAAGCTTCACTGACAGCTCTTGTCCTGATTGGCTTCATTGTCCGGTCCCATTGGGTCAAGATGGCCTTTCTGGCCCCATGCCACTTCCCTGGTCCCATAAGTCGAAACTGATATGGGCTACAAGGCCCAAAGTACACCTGCAGGGCCAGCTTGGGGTCAGTTAGGAAGAGCCACGGAATGTTAGGCTTGGTCCCCATGAAGGAGCCCAGCTCGTCCATGTAGGAGATGTAATCTGTCTGCAAAGTCTGGCTCCGGCCAAACCTGAGGAAAAGAAAGAACAGACAGGAATGAGTTGTACATAGAAGCATCAATCAAGTTCTTATTCTCTAGCTCAGAAAAGTAACATTTCAGCCAGCATCTCCAATAATACCCCACCCGTCTCTCTTGACACAACATTCAATTTATCATTTGTTCTTTGGCTGTAAATGAGCTTTTATTTTTCTCTCCTTCCTAATCTCTAACTTTGATGTCATTTTGGGCTTTAGCCTCTGGCCATATGGCCTGAAGTGAACTGACCCTAAGGTCTTAATTTGACTGATTAACTTAGTTTTCTCTTTAATATATGATTATTCTTTTTAAAAATTTATTTATTTATTTTTTTATCCTCACTCAAGGACTATTTTTTTTTTTTGCATTTATCTTCAGATAGAGTGGGAGGGAGAGTGGGGAAAAGAGAGAGAGACATGGATGTGAGAGAGACACATCGACTGGTTGCCACCCACGCAACCCAAACCAGGGCCGGGGACAAACTGCAACTGAGGTACGTGCCCTTAGCAGGAACTAAACCCATGTCTCTTTGGTCTGTGGGCCGACACTCTAATCACTGAGCCAAACTGGCCAGCGCTAAAAAATTATTTTTAACTATAGTTGACATACAACCTAATACTCTCTAGGTCCATCCATGTTGTATCTTATTTATTTATTTATTTATTTATTTATTTATTTATTTATTTATTTATTTATTTATTTATTTATTTATTTATTTATTTATTGGCTGAGTAGTAGTCATTGTATAAATGTGCCACATCTTCTTTATCCATTCATGTATCAATGGACACTTCCGACGGTTCTGTCTTGGCTATGCTGCAATGAACACAGGGGTGCTATCTCTCCTGATGTTATTGTTTTCTTTCTCTTCAGAAAGAAGTGGAATCCAAGAGTGGAATCGCTGGGTGGTACTGTAGTTCCATTGTTAATTTTTCGAGGAATCTCTATTGATTTCTGTAGTGGCCTCGCTAATTTATAATCCCACCAACAGTACACAGGGTTTCCTTTTCTCCGCGTTGTTGCCCACACCTGTTATTTGCTGTCTTTTTGTTCCTAGCCATTCTGACAGGTGTAAGGTGGTACCTCACTGTGATTCTGATTTGCATTTCCCTGACGATTAGTGATGTTGAGCACCTTTCATGGGTCTGTTGGCTATCTGTATGTCTTTGGAGAAATGTCCATTCAGGTCCTCTGCCCATTATTTGTTTGTTTTTGATTGAATTGTATGAGTTCTTGATATATTTTGGATATTAACCCCTTATCAAATATATCATGTGCAAATATCTTCTCTCTTTCAGTAGGTGGCACCTTTATCTTATTGATGGTTTCTTTCATCGTGCAAAAGCTATATTTTAAAATTAAATGAATTGGCGTAACATTGGTTAATAACATATAAATTTCAGGTGCGCAACTTTATAATACAACATCTGTATACTCTATTGTGTGCTCACCATCCAAAATGTAGTCGCCTTACCATCCAAAATGTAGTCTCCTTCTGCTCCCTTGTATTTAACCCCGTTTACCTTTTTCATCCTCCCACCAACCGCCTTCCTCCCTGGTAACCAACATTCTGTTGTCTGTATCTATGAGGGTTTTTTTGTTTGTTGCAAAAGTTTTTTACTTTGATGTAGTCCCATTTGTTTATTTTTCCTTTTGTTGCCTTTACCTGAGGAGTCATATTAAAAACAAAATATTGCAAAGACTGGTGTCAAAGTATTTACTGCCCTTATTTTCTTCTAGGAGTTTTATGGTTTTAGGTCTTATATTTAAGTCTTTAATCCATTTTGAGTTTATTTTTGTAGATAGTGGAAGAAAATGGTCTAGTTTCAGGTTTCCTTGCATGTATCTTTTTTGCCAACATCATTTATTAAAGAGACTGTCTGTTTTCCTCACTGTATATTCTTTCCTCCTTTGTTGTAGATTAATTGACCATGTATACATGGGTTTATTTCTGGGCCCTGTATTCTGTTCCATTAATCTATGTCTCTATTTTCTGTGTCAGTACCATACTGATTTGATTACTGTAGATTTGTAGTATAATTTGAAATCACAAAGCATAATAACTCCAACTTTGTTCTTATTTCTCAAGATTTCTTTGGTTATTAAGGGTCTTTTGTGGTTCCATATACATTTTAAGATTATTTGTTTCAGTTCTGTGAAAAACACCATAAGTATTTTGATTGGGATGTAATAAATCGGTAGATTGTTTTGGGTAATATGGACATTTTCATGGTATCAATTCTTCTAATTTATGAGCACTGTGTATCATTCCATTTATTTGTGCCTTCTTCAGTTCTTTCATCAATGTTGTAGCTTTCTGACTACAGGTCTTTAACTTCCTTGGTTAAATTTATTCCTAGGTATTTTATTCTTTTTTTCCCCCCTCACCCGAGGACATTTTTGTATTTATCTGGTATTTTATTCTTTTTGATGCAACTGTACATGAGCTTGTCTTCTTAATTTCTCTTTCTGATAGTTTGTTATTTGCCTATCGAAATGCAACAGGTTTCTGAATATTAATTTTATTTACATCCTGCAACTTCACTGAATTCACTTATTCAAATAGCTCTTTTGTGTGTATGAAATCTTTAGGGCTTTCTATACAGAATATTATATTATCTACAAATAGTGACAATTTTCCCTTTCCTTTCCAATTCGGATATCTTTTATTTCTTTCTCTTGTCTGATTGCTGTGGCGAGGACAGACATGTGGCTGATGAGAAAGGAGCTCTTGGGGAAAGTGTGACAGTCATTTCTCAACCTCAGCACTACGGACATTTGGAACTGAACACTTCTTTGCTCAGTTGGACTATCCTGTGCACTGTAGGATGTTTAGCAGCATCCTCTCTTTCTACTCATTAGATACCACGTAACTTGTCTTTTTCACTTGTGATGACCAAAAGTATCTCCAGACTTTGCCAAATGTCTCCTGTTCGAGAACCTAGTGACTAATATTTGCCCATCTAATACTCTTTGATTATAGCTAGTGCTCTGTTCGTTTCATTAGCAAGTGCAGTCTCTTACCACTTGAGTTTCTTCCCCATTTTCTTATCAATATCATCCATCATTTCCTTTGAAGTTGGCAGGGTACATGAGTCTAGAGAAGAAATGAGGAGAGAAATATTGAAAGAGATGAAGAAATCAGAAATGTGTAAGGACACATGATGAATTTTACTTAGTCTTTATAGACTCTATCCCTATAAGATTTTGTATCAAGAGGGACTGTCTGTGGTATCTCTGGTTGAACAAAAATGCACAGAAACAAAGATCTGGGAAGCCAGTGCTCCAGCTTTGGGAATGGCAAAGCTGGTCTGTAATGAGAGAGTGTAGCTTTAAATCACCTCATCTCCTATCCCTGTGACATGACGGAGGGCCCAATCCCCAATATACTAGCAATACTTCATGCACATAATAGCTGAACAGCTTCTTCCAGTTTCTTGTCTGCCTTTTATGAAGGATGCTCTCAAGAAATAACCTGGTGCAATAGTTCACTCTGAAGGCACAGAAAATGGGACAGTGGACTGAAGCATGGTTTTCTCAGAATCAACCTGCAGCCCAGGAGGGTACTGTAAGGTTTATAAGTATCTAACCATTATGCTGTACACCCCAAACTAATATAGTATTGTATGTGAACTGTAATTGAAAAATACTTCTTTGAAAAAGAGGGCAGCAACATTTTTTTTTAGTGTTCTGTGAATTTCACTGCATCAGCAGAGGTTTTCTCTGGTTCGCCTTGGTAACAGTGGGAAGAAGTTACTGTGACTTTCACAGGGTACGGGGTCCATCCCAGTCCTTGTGACCAGCGGTGCCCTGTGGTCAGGTGTTTGCTGCGCTTCTCCTAGAATTTTGATCTTTTCGTTTGATGTCGTATCCTGAGTGCCAAGTCAGAGCCTGGCACATAGTTGGTGCTCAGTTAACATCTGCTGAATGAATAAATGATACCCTTTGTTTCATGTAAACATTTTGGGGTTTATAAACTGTATCCCCTCTTCCCACAGTGCCTTTCAAGAGAAAAGACAATAGGGGTATTTTGTAGGGGAGCACCCTTACAAAACCTTACATGACAGGGTTTTTAACTGAAATGCTCCTTCATGGTACACTTGAAAGAAAAGCTTATTTATCAGCAATGTTTTTAGAAAACATATACACACACTCTATGATTGTAACATTTCCTTTGATACCTGTAGTCTAATTTTTTTATGGACAGTATGCTGGGTAAGGCATACCGATATTGGCCAATATTCTTGAACCCTTGAATAAAAGGACCCTTAATAACAGTGATGATAAATATAATTGGAGTAAATTAAATCAACATATTTGAAACATTGCCTTTCTCCATGCAATTCTTGCGTTCTTGATTTTCTCACATACATTGACTTGTAGACCCTGGAGACCACGGGGCCAAGAGTGGGGGGAGGGGGGCAGATTGTCCACAGAGTAGCAGGAGTGACCCGACATTGTTACTCTGACACCTGCAGACAGGGCCGAGGCCTCCAGCATGTCCCTGACATGGCCTTTCCAACCCTTGCCATGTCAGCAACCCACTGCTATCCTTCTCTTGCGTAAAACCTTTCAAAGTCCTTCCAGTCCTCCCACTAGAAGCCTGAGGTCTTCAGCACAGCCTCTAAGGCCCTCCACACCCTGGCTCTTCCCTCCATTTCCTGCCGCTCCCCGCCTCTGCTTTGTACCCCTCACACCAAGGTGTCTGGGTCCTCACACACCCCTTCCTCAGACTGGTCCCTCTTCATGGAATGACGTGATGCCCAGCGCCCCTCAACTGAATGCTCTAGAATGTTCCCTGCTGTGGCGTTCCCCTCACTCTACTTGAAGCTCTCTGAGGTCAAGGAGCATGTCTGTCTTGTTTCCTTTGTATCTCTAGCACCTAGCATAGTGCTTGGTATCTAGGAGGTGCTCAGTAAATGTTTGCAGACGGAATGAATGAAAGACAGGGTGGCCGACCTACTTACTTGCAAACACTTTAGCAGCCCAGCGGGCTTGCTGGTCAACGGTGGGGATGGCAGCCCCAAGGGACTGGACAAGGCCAATCACAGCCAAGGTCGGTTTCTCCATCACGGGGGGGAAGATGCCTTTAAACAAGGTGACCTCATTGTTTCTGCTCTTGATGATGGAGTCATCAAGGAAGGGGTAGGCATAAGCATAGCCTGTTGCAAAGATGACAGCGTCAATGGCCCCGAACACGGTCCCATCCTCAAACACAGCGGAGGTCTCTGTGAACTCCTTCACACCGGGCCTGATGGACAGGGTGCCGCACAGGATGCGTGATGGGAGCTCGTCGTTGAACACGGGCTCTTTCCGCAGGGTGCTGTGCAGACACAAGAGAGGAGGCCGTTGCTGTAAAGGGCCTCGTTTCCCAGAGATGTCTGCCACAGCCCGGCGCCAAAACCAGAGGTGAGGGGGACCTCAGCCTGAGGACAGCGGACTCCCCTTGGCGTTCAGTCCTGCCCTATTCCCCGAGCTGCCTCTTTCGGCCCCTGGAGACTTGAAGATTCTCTTGTGCGTGTTTACTGTTTGAGACTCACCAAACGGACTGGAATGAAATGAACTCGTAGACATAATAAAATGGTGAAGAGTGCTGACTGTGGGACCAGATGACCCAAATGTGTCACCTGGCTCCATCCCTATGAGCTGCTGCTGCCCGGCACGGCTCCCTGCAGTAACGTGGGGATGACACAGCCTCTGCCTCGTGGGGCTGCCGTGGGGACGAGGCACACAGTGACCTGTGAGGCACTCAGGAGAGCGCCGGGCACCGGAGCGCGTCGGCATTACAGGGGCGAACTGTGCCCAGGTCCCACCGCGTGCGAGGACGTCAGGGGCGCTGTGGCGGAGGTGTGATCACGCCTTTCCGCAGCCGGGGTCCCAGGAGAAAGTGTGACCACTCGGATACTCTACCTCTGTGGCCAAGATTCTAGGCTTTTTGTGTTTTTGTTGTTAAGTCTCCCTCAGGGATTTGGGAATTCCCTCTGTCTCCACCCTGGGGAACTTTATAAATCTTAGGCTGTGTCTCTGTACTTCCACGCTGTTCGCCGCGTCTAGAACTCCGCATCTCCTTTCTCCTTGTAACGAGACAAAGCAGGTCACAGTGACACCTGTTTGTCTCCTCCCTGCTCCACCTCTGCCCCCGAGGCAGGAGCCAGAGTGTGCCTGAAACTCAGGCCGCTGGGAACCCTTTCTGGGGGGGAGCTGGGTTCTTGGGCGTGGATTTCCAAAACACTGTTGTAATCGTCTGGAGGACAAAGCCAAAATGCAATTTGCAGTTACTCTTGCAAGACAAAAAAATCATAACAAGCTCTGGCTTTGGAACTTCTATTACATTGAACATAATTTTAAATGCATGAAATCACTTTTTTTTTTTTTCTTTAGCAGCCTGCCGGTGAGGTAGGATAAGCGCTGCGGAGTGAGGGTCTGGCGCTCACGGCCATTCCGACGTCCAGTTCCTTTTGTTTTCCCCTTAACCCATTTCTCTAAACACAGTGAAACGCTTTTTGCGAGCGTGGGCCAAAGATGAAGTTTCTCTGTGAATCCTTTCTGTTCTTACCCACCCAAGTCTCTTTTTCTGTCGGCACAGTGGTTCTTGCGCCTAGAAGGCCTTTCTCACTAGAAGGTGTGGGGCTCTGTCCCCACAGAGAAGCACGTACATGGATCTCGTTCATTGGATGGACTTCATCAGTGTATCTGACTTCATCCAGTGCCTAACGTGTCCCATGCCTCCTGATCGTCCTGCAAAAATGCCAACCCTCTCGTGGTGGAGGAGGTGTGCACTTTTGCTTTCAGACTTCCTACTTGCTGAGACATGTTGTTGATTGTTCCTTGGAAGCATATTAGAACATTGGAGACTATTAAGAACCGATATTTTGTGAAGCTTTCTAGCTTACAGAGTAAGTCTCACATCTTTAATTTTACTGAATACCACGACAGTCTTGAAGAGTGGGTATTATTATTATTTTTATTTCTATGCCCATTCACCGATAAGCATGGACAAAGTATTCCCCCAAATCCCACCTCGTATGAGTTGGCTCAGCCCTCACTCTGTCTAGGCTGGAGCTGCCACAGTGGAACCCTGCACGGCAGGGTGGGCCAGCCGCCTGCTCCATCCCCATTTCGGACTCTTCCATACACCGTTCCCCACCGGACTCATTTCAGGGAGAGCTTTACCCCACGCCTGGTCTCTGAGGATACCGTGTCTGTCTCCTGTGCAGTCCCCCATTTCCTCCCACCAGCCTCAGTGAGACAACTAAAATAAGACCTAGAGAGAAAGAATTCTGCTTCAACTAGTGCCCCACCGTTCTGAGTGGTCAATATGTATTATTTGTAGTACCCATTTAAAGGCATCAGGCCGTAATTCTCATGTTTAAACCTCGCGTTCATCTTCTTGACGTACAACCAGTCCGAGAGGAAGGAAGGAAGGGCGTTCTGGAGGAAGCATGCAAACCGGGTAACATACACCATGTCCCAAGGACAGCCGTCATCCCAAACCCGGCTCATGACCCAGGAGCCGCTCCTGGTGCTGATCACGACCTGGAAGAAATAAGCAGACACAACACAATTCTGTGGATATCTCCTTGCGGTTATTTCCTTCACTGTCCACGCAGGAGGGTGTCTAAAGAGTGGGTTCATGACTGAAACCAGCTGGAGGCAGACCTACTCCCTCCCTCCACCCCAGAGGGCTAGTGCATAATTGTTGCAAGAATGAGAACCGGGCGTCTTGGAACAAGAGGGCTCTGTATTCATCTACGACAGGTTTCATCTTCATACACTCATAGACTAAGATGGTAGGTCTGGCAGAAACCAGCCAAGCCGGTGAACTTCAGTGGTGGTAGTAGCTGGGTTGCGTGGGGAAAATCTAGCTAAATCTGTAGCTGAAATGAGGCTAAGGAGATGCCAAAGATTTAACTCTGTTCGCTGTCCCTGGTTTCCTTTGCCATTTCTCTCTACACACCTACCCAGCATCTTGCTGGGCAGCCCACACCATGGCAGCTGCCTCAGCCCCGAGTCAAGTCTGGATGTTTGTCTATTGTACCACTTTTGTGATAACCCAAGGGAAGCCGACTTAAAAAAAAAAAAAGAACCTTAGCTTTCATTTATATCCATTTAAGAATTTATTTCTCAGATCACAATGGCATGAAACTAGAAATCAATTGCAACAAGAACATGCAAAGACATTTGAACACATGGAGGCTAAATAGCATGTTATTAAATAATGAATGGGTTACCAAGGAGATCAAGGAAGAAATTAAAAACTTCCTGGAAACCAGTGAAAATGAACACACAATAACACAAAATCTATGGGATGCAGCAAAAGCAGTTCTGAGAGGGAAGTTCATAGCATTACAGGCCTACTTCAAGAAACAAGAAAAATTTCTAATTGACTATCTAACCTCACAACTTAAAGAATTAGAAAGCAAACAAAAAGAAAACTCCAGAGCAAGTAGAAGAAAGGAAATAGTAAAGATCAGAGCAGAAATAAATGAATAGAGACCAAAAAAACAATTCAAAGGATCACTGAAACAAAGAGCTGGTTTTTCTAAAAGATAAACAAGATTGATGGACCCTTAACTAGACTCACCAAGAAACAAAGAGAGAGAACCCAAATACACAAAATCAGAAATTAAAGAGGAGAAGTAACAACTGACACCACAGAAATACAAAAGATTGTTAACAACTACTATGAACAATTATATGGCAACAAATTTGACAATCTAAGCGAAATAGACAAATTTCTAGAAACACATAGTCTCCCAAAACTGGACCAGGAAGAGATAGAAAACTTGAACAGCCCTGGCCAGTTTGGATCAGCAGTTATAGCGTCAGCCTACGTCAGAGAGACCGGGGTTCAGTTCCCACTAAGGGCGCGTACCTTGGTTGCAGTGTGTCCCCGGCCCAGGTTGGTCATGCGGGTGGCAGCCACTTGATGTGTCCTTTTCACGTCAATGTTTCTCTCTCTCTCTTCCTCCCACTCTATCTGAACAAAAAATAAAAAAACGTCCTGGGGTGAGGATAAAAAAAAGAAAACTTGAGCAGACCAAAAACAACTAAGGAAATTGAAGAGGTAATCAAGACTCTCCCAGCAAACAAAGGCCCAGCCCAGGCCCACATGGCTTCACAGGGGAGTTTTATCGAACATTCGAAAGAGAACTAACACCAATTCTCCTCAAACTATTTCAAAAAATTCAAGAAGAAGGAAGACTTCCAAACTCGTTCTATGAGGCCAGCATAATTCTAATTCCAAAACCAGAAAAAGACACTATAAAGAAAGAAAGCTACAGGCCAATATCCCTGATGAACATAGACGCCAAAATCCTGAACAAAATACTAGCATATCGGATCCAGCAATACATCAAAAAAATTATTCACCATGACCAAGTGGGATTTATCCCAGGGATGCAAGGCTGGTACAATATTTGCAAATCAATAAATGTGATACACCACATAAACAAAATGAAGAATAAAAACCACATGATCATATCAATAGATGCTGAAAAAAAATTCGACAAAATTCAGCATCCATTTCTGATAAAAACGCTCAGCAATGTGGGAATAGAGGGATCATATCTTGACATAATAAAGGCCATATATGAAAGACCTACAGCCAACATCATACTCAATGGGCAGAAATTAAAGCATTTCCCTTAAGAACAGGAACAAAACAGGGACGTCCACTTTCGCCACTCTTATTTACCATAGTACTGGAAGTCTTAGCCACAGCAATCAGACATGAAGTAAAAATAAAAGGGATCCAAATTGGAAAGGAGGAAGTGAAACTGTCATTATTTGCAGAAGACATGATATTATACATAGAAAATCCTAAAGACTCCATAAAAAATCTAGACTTTATAAATAAATTTGGCAAAGTAGCAGGATACAAAATTAACGTCAAGAAATCAATGACATTCATATACACCAATGATGAACTCACTGAAAGAGAAACTGAAAAAACAATCCCATTTACCATCATGGCAAAAAAATTAAGATACCTAGGAATAAACTTAACCAAAGAAGTAAAGGACCTATTTGCAGAAAACTACAGGACATTGAAAAAAAGAAATAGAGGAAGATATGAAAAAGTTGAAGCACATACACTGTTCATGGATTGGAAGAATTAATATCATTAAACTGTCCATACTACCCAAAGCAATCTATGGGTTCAATGCAATCCCCATCAAAATACCAACGACATATTTCACAGAACTAGAACAAATACTTCAAAAGTTCATATGGAACCAAAAAAGTCCCCGAATAGGCACAGTAATTTTGAAAAAGAAGGACAAAGTATGTGGGATCACAATACTGGATATCAGGTTATACTACAAAGCGACTGTAATCAAAACAGCCTGGTACTGGCACAAGAACAGGCATATAGACCAGTGGAACAGAACTGAGAACCCAGAAATGGACCTAAGGCAATATGCTCAATTAATATTTGACAATGGTGGCAAGAGCATACAGTGGAGTAAAGACAGCCTCCTTAATAAATGGTGTTGGGAAAATTGGACAGCTACATGCAAAAAAAATGAAATTAGATCATCAACGTACACCATACACAAAAATAAACTCAAAATGGATAAAAGACTTAAATGTGACCCGTGAATCCATCAAAATTCTAGAAGAAAATGTAGGCAACAAAATTTCGGACATCATACGCAGCAGAATTTTCACTGATACATCACCTAAGGCAACAGAAACAAAGGAAAAAAATGAACACATGGGACTATATCAAACTAAAAAGCTTCTGCTCAGCAAAAGAAACAATCATCAAAATGGAAAGGCAACCCACTGTATGGGAGAGCATAATTGCCAATGATATATCAGATAAGGGGTTAATTTCCAATATATATAGAGTGCTCATACAACTCAACAAAAGGAAGACAAAGAACCCAATTAAAAAATGGGCAGAGGAGCTGAATAGACACCTCTCCAAACAGGACATACAAATGGCTAAGAGACATATGACAAAATGCTCAATATCACTAATCATCAGAGAGATGCAAATTAAAACAACAATGAGGTATCACCCCACACCTGTCAGAATGGCCACCATCAACAAATCATCAAACAACAAGTGTTGGCGAGGGTGTGAAGAAAAGGGGACTCTAGTACACTGCTGGTGGGAATGCAGACTGGTGCAGCCACTATGGAAAACAATATGATGTTTTCTCAAAAAATTAAAAATTGAACTTCCATTTGACCCAGTGATCCCGCTTCTAGGAATATACCCCAAGAAGCCTGAAACACCAATCAGGAAGAATATATGTACCCCCATGTTCATAGCAGCACTGTTTACAATAGCTAAGATCTGGAAACAGCCCAAGTGTCCATCAGTAGACGAATGGATAAAAAAACAGTGGTACATGTACACAATGGAGTACTATGCAGCTGTAAGAAAGAAGATCTCTTATCCTTTGAGATGACATGGAGGGACCTGGAAAGTATTATCCTAAGTGAAATAAACCAAGCAGAAAAAGACAAATACCACATGATCTCACTTATTTGTGGAATATAATGAACATAACAGTCTGAGGAATAGGGTAGACCCAGAGACATGGAATTAGGGTTCAGACTGACAACCCTTGGAATAGGGGTTGGTGGGGGGAGGGAGGAGATAAACCACAGAACTTATATGCTTGTACCCGTAACCAATGGACATGGACAACAAAACCCGGGATGGGGTGGGGGTGGGGGGTCGGGAGGAGGGTGTCAATGGGGTAAAAAGAAGAAACATCTGTAACAAAAATAAAATTTTTAAAAAGTTAAAAAAAGAGAATTTATTTACTGAGCACCTATTTCCTTTAAAATATGTGGTTTCTTCAGAGGCTGCTGGTCCTATAATGTAGCCTGGAGTCCTCTGGGAAGCCGTCCTCGACTCCATCCAGGCTAAGTTAGGTTCTCTTTTTATGGTACTGCCGCTGTCACAGCTGAAAACCCTGTCATCTCATTAGGACCGCTTGCAAAGGTGTCCGTGCCTGTCATCCCACCTCTACCCACTGCCTGCTCCTTGAAGTCAGGAAGTAGCCTGACTTATTTCTGACACAGAAAAAGTTCCTGAATTTGCTGAGCCATGGCTATTGACTGCATAGACAATAGTAAGAACTAAATGCTGGGTACCTTCCAGACTTGCAGAGTAAGCAAGTATCTTTTCCATGGTACGTGACAAGAAATACTGTCAAAGAAAGGCAGAGCTACCAGTTTGCTTGGAGGTGATCAGAACATAAAAGGAACACAAAAATGCACGCTTACATAATACGTACATGCACACACTTACCTGTGGTTCTCACTCCCCTGTGGTTCCAGCAGAACGCACTTCCTCACGCGCATGGGCCACATAACCACGCTTCACAGGGAGATGTCTGCAGCCCTCCCTGGTTTAATGGGCACATGCCATCGGGGCCCTGCGTGGCGAGGCGTGGCGAGACCTGGCCAGACGGTCCCCAGCTGGTGCAGAGCACGGCCGCGCTCCAGGTGTGCCTCCCCAGACCTTTGAGATGATTTACCTGTGCAGCCAGACGGCTGAGCTCGACAGCAATGTCACATCCCGAGTTCCCCAGGCCAATCACGAGGACCCTCTTCCCCGCGAAGGCTTCTGGGCCCTTATAGTCCCGGCTGTGGAGGGAGCGCCCTTGAAACCGCTCTAGGCCTGAGTGGAACACGGGGAGTGGTTTGAGTTGATTTTCAGAAGAAATGATCAAGACTCACATATTTTGATATTTCTATTTTTAAACCTCCCATTAGCAATCTTAGTTATAAAAAAAAAAATTTCCCTAGTTGAAATGGGTTTATCCTTGTGGTGGTTTTTGATAAGAAACCCTCAAATAATTACTTTTAGTGCCTTTAAAAAACCCTTACGATATGGGAACTTCTATTTTGATAATAATAATGGCTGATATTTATTGAGTACTTACTGTAGGCTAGACCCTCTGCTAAAGGCTTTATATCGTTTAACCATTTAATCTTGATAACATCTCTAAATGATAGGTACTGGTATTCTCTCTATTTTAAAAGACAAGGAAATTGAGACAAGTAAGTGACTTAGTGAGGTCACGTGGTAGGACCAGTGGAATAAGGAGTTGAGCCCAGGTGTTCTAAGCCTACACTATTTATCGTAAGCCTACAGAAAATACACTGTCCCTTAACATTAATGGTTTGGACCTTCTATTCTCCCTGAATCTCTACCCTTTTAATTATCTTGGCCTATGACTATCATGCCTTGAAGATGGAACTCTAATATTTTCCAGTAGTCATGTGTTTTGTTGGAAGGAAGGAAGGCAGGCTGGCTACTTGTATACTGTATTTATTTGACATTTGCTACTTTTGTATACTAATGGAGTGTGCCACCACACACACCCACACACACACACACACACTGAGATTTCTAAAGTTAATTTGCAAAATGTGGACATATATGAATTTTGGAAAACCCAGGTTTCCACTATAAATAACAAATATGTTTATGTTATAAATAAGAAAACGTGACTTTCTTTAAACAATTTGGCAGTTGGACTCTGGTGAATGTACCTTCGCTCAGAGACCCCAGGTGCAGTCAGGACTTTGGTTCAAGTTGTGTTGAAGGTAAGACCTGCATCTTCATCTCATCTCTGACTTACAGGTCCTGAATCTTCCAGGTCCAGGAGGCCAATTATTACGGTGTTTCACATACCATCAAACTCAAAAATGTTGTTTTGAAATCTTTGCAATCTTAAGAATAATCATTATGTACAATCTATGGAAAGACCTGCGTCAGCCTTGATGGTTGTGGTTAAGTCCCAAGGTTATTATGTATTTCCCAGACTTACCAGGAAAAGAATCATTTGGCAGGTTGGGGTACACATGATGTCCTGAACAAACCATCACAGCGTCAAAAATAGTCAGTTCCTGCTTCCCATTCTTTTCTGAAACAACTTCCCATTGGCCAGTGAGCAAGAAGTTGGGACATTTCTTGACACTAGAAACCAGGGTCTTAAAGAAAATCGGAAAGAAATTTCTTCTATGGGTAAGTCTGTATTTATTTAACATTTTAGCAGTGTTTCTGTGGAGGAAATAATTGTGATGAGCTCTCTCCTGGTCCTTGAGAGATGTATGGGAAGACATTAAAGTAGGAGTCACAGTGAATCTCCAGATCGCAGAAGGAAAATTATTTCCTGGGGTATTGTGACCCTTTTGACACGTGGCTAGTGAGTCTGGGGTGTGTAAAACACTGAGTGTTCTGGCAAAAGATGGCATGTCATTTGCGTTCTGCCCTCCTCCAGTGACACTCATGACTTCTTCCTCTCTGATCTTGTCTCCCTTCTATTCCATATGTATGAGAATGTTTTGGGGTTCAAGCCTTAGTCTCTCCTTTGCTCAGGATAGACGCTCTCCTTTGGAAAAATTAGTCACTTTCTTAGTGTCACTATGATGTAAGTGTATGTAAAAATCAAATGAAATGATATTAAATATAATCACAATCCTGTTCATTATAATTAATTAAATCATTGATTTGAACTCATCACAATTATTAATTTAATTATTATAATAATCATATGTGGGATAATATGTAATATAATTTTATTCTTTTATTATTTGTCTTTAAAAAAAAGTATTGTTGAAAGTATTACAGATGTCCCACCTTTTATCCCCGATTAACCTGTTTATTATTTATCACATAGTTAATAACCATAATGGGGACAATACACAATGTAATTGTATTTATTATTTATTGTTTTAATACAACAGAGTTACACATGTAATCCTGGCTCCCACTTGCTGATGATCTCCCTGGGTCGGGGTGCCCCGTATTTAACAGTAATGAAGGAAGGTGAAGGGTTCTGAGCTAACCTAAAGCCCTACTGCTATTTGGGACGGTGCCTCTGCGCCGTGATTCCTAAGGCCCCGATCCGAGGAGCTCAGTGGCTGCAAGGTGACGGCAAAGACCGTATTTATCATTCATCTAAGTTGCTACTCTCTTCATAGTGGAAGACTTTCTGGCAAAGCGGTGCTCTCTTGAACCACACGGACCGCCACGAAGTGTGCACATGAACTAGAGAATTGGAGATCGCTGCTCGGCTAGGAGCGCGTGAGGGTGGAAAGCACCCCGTGACGGTGGGGCCACCGCCTGCGTCTTCCGTGGCACTGAAAGCTCCCAGAGACGGGGAGACACGCTCGGGGCCCAGATAAGCCCATGCGTGGACACTTACAATGTGCACCGACAGCTCACCTCCGATGGGGGCGCTGTCCAGCCGTTCGGCTCTGATGTCTCCAGCGGAGGCCTGTGCCCTAGCTTTTTCTTTAACCCCCACACACATGGATGTCAACAGCATAAGTTGATATACCCATACCTTAAACTGTATATATCTGAAAAGATTGTTCTTTTGAGCGAACGTCCTTATGTATTCCTGGAGCTGGCTGTGGTGCATGAAGTTGGGGGAGTCCTCGGGGTGTGGGAAGTCCGGGAAGCACATCATCTCCTTGGAGGAGTTGGTGAATACAGACCGGTAGATGCTGGCTCTGCCTTCTTCTGCGTGGTCCTAGAAGAACAACAGAGCTTGAAGAGGAAACCAAGAATGGTGTGCCCCTCAGTGGATGCTCGGTTCTTGGTTGGCTGAAAGCTTTTTTTTTTGTTAATCCTCACCAGAGGATATTTTTCCATTGATTTTTTAGATAGAATAGAAGGGAGGGAGGGAGAGAGAGAGCGAAACATCGATGGGAGAAAGACACATCGATTGGTTGCCTCCCGCACAACTACGACCAAGGGCCAGGGGCTGAACCTGCAACCCAGGTATGCACCCTTGACCAGGAATCAAACCTGAAAACCTTCCATCCGCAGGCTGATGCTCTAACTACTGAGGCAGACTGACTAGGGCAAAGCTTTTTAATATATAAAAGAAAACAACAACAGCAGCAAAGACCCACGAAGAAAATGAACAGGTCTCTCTAAGATCTGGAAATAAAAGCATAGGTCCTGGCTCAGAGCTGGCTGCTGTCCACCTTAGTCCTAACTGACCCTGTATTAGCTCTGTGTTTTCAGTCCCTATGGAGTTTTCTTTCTTTTTTCTTCTTTTTCCTTTATCGATTTTAGAGAGAGAGGAATGGAGAGGAGAGAGAGATAGAAACATTGATGAGAGAGAACATTAATTGGCTACCTCCTGCACGCCCCCCACTGGGGATTGGGCCCACCACCTGGGCATGTGCTGTGACCAGGAATTGAGCTGGCGACCTCTTGGTGCGTGGGTCGACGCTCAACCCCTGAGACACCCCAGCTGGGCGTTTTCTTTCTTTTTTTCAATCAGAGCAGTGGTTCTGATCTCATACTCATGAGATCAACTGAAAAACAGAAATACAACTAAATGGTCTGAAGGACGTTGCAGCTTTTAGCCTGTTTGATTGGCTCTATGATGTTCAGCGAGCTTTTCAACAATAGAACCCTCACTGAGGTGGTTCCCCAACTTACGTGAAATCGGAACCACCGCCAGGGCTCCTTAGACCAGATTCCCAGGGCCACCCTCAGAATTTCTGACACAGTTTGTCTGGAGTGGGGCCTGAGAATTTGCAGTTCCAACAATTGCCTGTTGCGGCTGACCCAGGGAGCACACGTGGAGGACCACTGCCCTGTTGGACTTGAACTCGCTTGAAGACTTCCCTAACGCGCCAGTGAGAGGCATGCACTCCGCCCCGGGAAACACACACGAAACCAGAAGCTGCAGGACCTGTGCTCCATCTCGCCACTTTATTTTGAAGCCACTGTGTACTTGCAAAGCGGCTGCTTTTGAGAAGTGATCGAAGGCTGAGTTGAAAATCAACACTTCCTCTCTGTTGCAAGGACAGGGCGGAAGTTCACGGTGTCCTGCCACAGAAGAATCTTTACCAGCTGGCAGCCCGTTTCCCCAAATCCCAAGGGAACGCCCATGATGGGAAAGGATGGAACGTTATGTTGCTGCTGAACTCAAGATGACTGTCTCCCGCCAGCCCAGCTGGGCCCTGGAAGATGGAGCCAAAAAGGACGGGAAAGATTCGGTAGGAGTGTGTCTCTTGGGGGCTGCCTGAGGCCTCAGTGTCTTGCCTGAAGTTGTGGATTAACACGTCCTCTAACTCATGGTTGCTGTATTTCTCAGAATAACTAAGCTCGAAATTTAACGTTTTAAACCTCAGTTGGGTTTCTGCTAAGGTCAGAAAGAAGGTGAGGCTCGTGCCTGGCAGGTTCTCAGGGATGTCTTCCCTGCTCCCCAGAGCTGGTGCCTTTCCCTGATGGTTGAGAGAAGGGGTGAAGGACGTGTTGCAGCTGCCCATCGAAGGCAGGGAGGGCTGAGCCGCAGGCTGGGGGCTGGTTAAAAACATGTTAGATTCTGCTCTTGAATTATTTCCATGTTCATGAGCCTCTACCTTTTGGCCCCTGGACCCCAGCCAATCAGAACATGAGGAGAGAAGACTATGTGTCCTACAGCTCCTTGGATCTTTTCCGTAAGAGGCTGTTCTCCAAACAAAAGAAAATGGATGTATTGTATGACAGATAATTGCTCCAGAGAGCTCGCATTTTTATTATTTTAATATGCCAGGTGGGTTTGAGCCAGTAAGGAGGAAATGAAGCTCAGACTCGGCCTCGGGCTGGGAGAGCCTGTCCTAGATCTAGAGGCACAAGCACCGCCTGTCTAGGGTTATCACCACATCTGTCTCATCTCTGCCTCGGGAACGTAAGCAACTGGAGGGCAAAGTCAGAAGCAAATTCCAGAACGCTATGCATGCCTTTTGGTGGTCTGCCTTGACCTCCCTTTGTATTTTCCAGCTCTGCTTCTCAGTCTCATTTCTGTTGGTCTAAATATACCCTCGAGGTCCTGCTCAGAAGCTGGCTCCTCCCTCTGCCTTTCTTTGCTCCTTTCCCCACCGGAAGTCATTTCCCGCCGCCACACTCTGTGGGTCTCCACTGCCCTCATCACGTGTGCACTTGTATTGTAGCTATTCTCATGCTTCTGAAACACAGGCTGCGCCCAGCTGGTGTGTGTGGCTCAGTGGTTGAGCATCGAACCTGCACCAAGAGGTCACCAGTTCGATTCCCGGTCAGGGTACATGCTCAGGTTGTGGGCCTGATCCCCGGTGGGGGGCACGCAGGAGGCAGCCAACTGATGTCCACTCTCATCGATGTCTGTATCTCCCTCTCCCTTCTTCTCTCTCTCAAATTAATAAAGAAAATGTATTTTAAAATAAATAAATAAAATACGGGCTGCCTGCTGTCCCACTTCTTTGCAGCTAAACTCCGCACAGTGCCCGATGCATGATGTGCACAAATATGTATTTGTCGAATGAATAAATGAATGAATAAGTAGAACCAAATCCCAGATGGTTCTGTTTTTCCCCTGTTGCAGCCAACATATCCTGACCTTTTGTACACAGCTTGTTGAGCAAGCTCTTGTGACAGCAGATTAAAATTCTGAGGCCAAGAGGCCCTGTTAGAGTATATGACACTTAAACCACGCTCAGACTGAACCTGCTGGTGTGTAAACCCGGTTTGGTTTTCATTATACAGGAAACGCACACAGTGGAAAGTTCAGCATGATCAGGTTTCTCTATTCTAACACTTCTGCCTAACAGGACTTGCAAGATGAAAGCTTATGTAATACATTTGCCAAAACTTCCCTCTTGTGGTGCGTGGAGGGGGGCTAAAGTTTAGATTATTTGTACGTGTTAAAGCACACAGGGCCTTGGATATAATTTTGCGTATACACAGTGAACCCATGGGAAAGGGACATCCTCTCTTGTGGATGACCCCGAGTCTGGCTTCGCATCTTATCGATCTGTCATCTGTTGTTTCCGTGAATAACCTCTCTGATCTGGCGGCAATGGTTCACTTAGACCCCTGGGTATACCATGTTCAGCGCCTTCCCTGTGCCTTTCATGGCATGCTGGTCACCCTACCTAGAAACCTCTCCCACCTGGTACTGTCACCCTGTTGGACACTCTGCGTCTGCGGGGTGCTGCTCACAGACCCCGGTGGGAATGGCACACTCTGCAGTGTGTCACATAGTGGACATCCTTCAAGTCTCTGCCAGGAGCCATCCCTCAGGACGTTTTCAGCAGCCCACCCTCTTCTAAAACTCAACGCACTTGCTCATTAAGTTGACAGTCACCAAGTTGACAGTCTAGTTGCCTTAAGGTTCCATAATCTCTTATTTGAAACTCATGTGTATGTTGGAATGTGGAGATTTGGGGATGGTTTTCCATAACACTCCTCGTGAGATCCGGGGCGGCACCCTATACTAGAATGCAGTAAAGTCCTGGGAAACCCGGAGTGGAGCACAGGAAGGCTGCAAATATCCTGGTGGTTTCAACTCGGTTTCTGACTGTGACTTCAGGACAGGGGTTGCGGTCCCAGGAGCTCTTGCCCGTTTTTGATCGAAGGGTTGATGGCTTCCTTCACCAGATGGAGCAGACGCCACTTATGTAGAGTGATTGTCACCTTTTCAGTCATCCTAGTATCTAGTACTCTACCAAAATAGATGCTCAAGCAGAGATTAATTGTTGCTAAGGAGATAATAGAGAACCATTTCATGATTTATCTCCCCGAGTGAATATAAATAAGGAAAACCGAATTCTTTAAAAAACAAACAAACAAACAAACAAAAAACCCCCAAACCCAACAACCTCTTGATTATTCCCTAGTGAAAAATAAAAATTAATGATCTTATAACTTATGTAATACTTTCAGGATTATAGGACTGCCAATTTTTAAAAGTAAAAGCTTTTGAGATGACGACAAATATGTCCTAAATTAGCACTGATACACTCTATTATAGCAACCTGTTGTTGCAGGTTAGGCTATAACCGAGACCCGGATAGAATATAGTTTACAAGATGAATGATGTGGATAATTCATGTCTTTAAGCCAAACATGTATCATCTACATCCAATAACAATGGTTGGGAGAGGCTAGAAGTTTCCCCAAACTTGGCTTTCGAAATTTAAAAGTTGTGTTCATAATGAATATTTTCTGATTATATTATTTCTACAACAATGAGCCTGAATGGCAGAGATAATCCACTTTTTCCTTTGGATTTGGAGCTCCTCACAGAATATTCAATAACCACATGCCCAACATACACAGCCATTTAAAAAAGGTTTTGCTGTTTGCCCAATAGACATGAGAATTGGAAGCACATTAAAGGGAACTTAATTTCCAACGTCTGCATCTGACCAATGAGCACTTGAGGTCCAGAAAGAAAAATGACTTGCCTAAAGTCTATCTGCCCAGGAAACGTAAGAGTCGGGGCTAGAACTCAGGACTTCTGACCCCGTCTAGGTTTTTCTGTTTCTTTCCCCTCATGTTCCTAGGATTTAAGACCAATAGGGATAGAATCTTATCAGTTACACAGGAAGGCAGTGGTGTGGGTTTTTTGCTAATTACTGACATTAGCACTCTCTTTTTTTATCCTCACCTGAGGATATTTTTCCCATTGATTTTTTTTCTTATCCTCACCCGAGGACATTTTTTCATTTCTTTGTTCAGATAGAGTGGGAGGGAGAGAGAGAGCGCGAAACATTGATATGAAAGAGACACATCGAGTGGCTGCCTTCCGCACAACCCAACCAGGGCCGGGGACAAACTGCAACTGAGGTACGTGCCCTTAGCGGAAACCGAACCCGGGTCTCTCCGGACTGCAGGCTGAGGCTCTAACCGCTGAGCCAAACTGGCCAGGTCCCCACTGATTTTTTAAAGAGAGCACAGGAAGGAGGAAGAGAGAGAAAAAATTGATACGAGAGAGACACATCGACTGGTTGACTCCTGCACAGGGCCAGGGAGCGAACCTGCAACCCAGGTGTGTGCCTTTGACCGGAATTGAACCTGCAACCCTTCGTCCTCGGGCCAGTGCCCCAACTGCTGAGGCAAACCGGCCAGGGTGACATTAGCACTCTTTGCGGCCTGGAGATCGGGGCTCCGTCAGGCCAGTCACAATATTTAGCAAGCTGGGGATGTCCTGTTCAAGGGCAGCCCTGACGGCGGGAGTTATTCTGAGTGACCGGACGTCACTTGAGATGGGGGAGAGGAGATGGTACTTTCCGGAGCTGAAACTTTTGGGATCTCCCTCCAAGGCCGAATCAGAACGGGTCAAATTTGATCTTCCGTAGAACCCAGGCCCCTTTCTGTTGGTGCCCTGGTGGTGTGCCACTCACCGAGAACTTCCACAGGCCCCCGACGTCGCTGCTCCTTTCAAAGCAGGTGGGCTCCAGCCCCTCCTCCACACAGCACCGTATGGAGGCCAAGCCACTGACGCCGGCTCCGATCACGGCCACCTTCCTGGCCATGGTCTCCTGGCAGGGCCGTGGTCGGCCAGTGGCTGCTGCAGTGGTGCGGAGGCTATGAGCCGTTCGTTTTAAATGCTGCAGCCGTGGTAATGTGACACCAGCGGGAATGAAATGCTATGTCTCACCAGTCGAAGAGCAAAGTCTCACGGGCTTGACCACAAGCCTTGTTTACACAGTCTTGGTTTGACACGGAAAAGCAGCCCATCTAGCAAAGCCAGATGATTCGGGGACAAAGGACGAGGGGCTGAGCCAGCCGTTTCCTCGCGCTGAGAGCCTTCGAGTCCAGGGCTGAGCTTTTCCTCGCCGGCTCCTTCCCCCGCGGTTATCCTGACCTCTGCTGTTGCTCCCACGAATGGCCACTCTCCGCCGCAGGGGGTCCTGTTGGAGGGTCTGAAGAGAGCTGCTTCAGAGGATGGTCCCTGAACAAGGGACATTTCCAGCAGGAACAACCAGCCGGGTTTGGGTCAGGATCCTCACCTTAACAAGAAAACAGGCACGTGAACAGTTCGTGCGCATCGTTTTCTTAGCACTTCTGCACAGTAAGATTCTAAATCTGGTTTCTCCTGATTATTCAAGATGCCAGACAGCGCCGAGCCGGTGGACGCTAAAGCAGGAGGGGCCTTGAAGGTCATCAATCCAGTGCTCTCCATGACAAAGCAGGGGTCACTGCAGGAAGGTTAGAAATGACTTCTGGCCCTGGCCGGTTTGGCTCAGCGGTTGGAGAGTCGGCCTGCGGTACAGAGAGGCCGGGGTTCGGTTCCCGCTAAGGGCATGTACCTCGGTTGCAGTTTGTCCCCGGCCCTGGTTGGTCGTGCGGGTGGCGGCCACTCGATGTGTCCCTTCACATCGATGTTTCTCCCTCTCTCTCTTCCTCTCTCTCCCTCCCACTCTGTCTGAACAAAAAATGGAAAAATGTCCTCGGGTGAGGATAAAAAAAGAAAAAAAAAAAAAAGAAATGACTTCCGCAAGGTCTCTAGAGCAGAACTAGAACTCAGGCCTCCTGCGCACAAGCCCCAGGGCCAGTCACCCCTACGCACGTGGGCTGCTTGGCTCGAGGGGGCCTCATGCTTATTTCACCGCCCCCCCCCCCGAACCAGCAGTTCCCTAACTAGAATAGAATGCGTTTTGATGTAATAATTGGGAAAGGGGGAGAGGTTATTTTTTTAAAGTAAAAATTCCTCTTCCTTGGTACCTTCATGGTGGAGCGCCCCGGGAACACCTGGAAGAGAGCCTGAGTGGGGGGGTGGAGTACGAGGGCGGGGGCGGGGGGCGGGGGGACAGTGGTGAGGGAGGGCAAGAGTGAGGCCCCTGGTCCCGGCTCTAGAAAATGAAGCGCTTTCTGATATGGTCGCTGGAGCCGTAAGGTGAACCCCTGGGAGATGAAAGGAAAATGGTTCTTGTTTATCTTTGCTTTGAGACGATAGACTATGTAAACAGCTATGCACCTGGACCACAAGGAAGGTTTCCTTGTGCCAACAGTTAACAAAAAGCTCAAGTTTCGGGAAACTTAAGAGCACCCGATTTGAGGAGCTAAGCTAACTGTTGGAGATGATGAGTTTGTAAAACGAGTGGGTCAAAGGACAGAATTGTGACGTCACTGGTCTGGCCCCTCCCACTCCTATACCTGCTCTTTCCACTTCTGTACACCACCCTCTCTCCCCGCCGCCCTCCCTCCCTCCCTCCCACTTCCCCGAGTGCCGACCATGGGTCACGCACTGTGTGGCCTCTCGGAGGGTCAGCCGTGAGCAGACCGTCTAGAAACACAGTCTAACGGAGGGAGAGAGGACGACTGTCATGATGGACGTGTGCGTCAGCGCGGGGCCGGCAAGGAGAAACATCTGGGAACGAGAGGCTTCCGGAGGAAGTGTGAGGGTAGCTGAGTCTGAAGGAAGAAGAGACACTCGCCTGGCAGACAACGGGCAAGAACAGAGCAGCCGAAAGGAACAGGTGTGCGAGCGTGCAGAGGTGGGAGCAGCAGAGGGCGAGCTGCCCGAGTTCGGTGCTGCCGAACCCTGAGGTCCGTGCACGCAGACCCAGGGAGAAGCCCCGAGCCTGAGAATCCCCCTTCATGAGCACAGGACGGGGGAGACTGAAGAAAGAGGCAGGTCACTCCAGCCTGGCAATGAACAGAGTCTATAAAGGGACACTTACCGAGGAGGCTCGTCCTGGGCAGCTGCAAATGAAGTGTCCTCCGCACTGCTGGGCGGGCAGCAAGGCATCTACAGAACAGAGCAGGGCCTGTCGGGAGGACTGGCCACACCAGGCATGGGGAACGCCTCATCCTTGCCCTGACTGGGACGTGGCCTGTCCGGGAGCCAGCGCGCCACGAGACACAGGGGAGGGGGCCTGCTTTGTGTCAGAAGGAGAGCGTGGATATGGTCAGACAGTCTTGGAGGGGTTTGTGGGAAGCAACTGCCATTCTGGCCTGGGTCTGGCTCGAGGGTCCTGCAGTGGTCATGCCCTGGAGCCGCTTCTCCACACATGGGAGCAGCAGAATTAAACATGCAGAACCCAGATGCTAAAGGACACTGAGGTGCCACCCTCAAGGGGTTGGATACGGTCCTCGGGGTTATGGTGACCCCTTCACGAATTTTGAAGAGGAAAGCGACAAGCTCAGAAAAGATCCGATCCAGATGAAAGCTTGAGTGAACGGTCACCAGAATCAGGGATCCCCAAGCCCAGGAGCTCATTGCAATAGTCCAGGCTAGAGATCCCAAGGATGTAAACTAGAGCAACGCAGGATAGAGGATGGAGACTGGAGAAAAGAGCGATTTAGGGAATATTTTGGGGACTGACTATACGTATTTGGGCACTAGCTGACTGATTATATAGACCTGATGCCTCAAAGAAGACCCTTTCGTCTACGACTGATATGCCCACCTCGGCTGAGTACAGAAAGACCACCCTCTTTCACAAAGAAAGCGATAGAGTGCAGGGAGTTAGTTGCCTGCGTAGACGGAAGAGCTGGACAGCAGAAACCAGGGCGCCACCACAGGCCCTGGAGGGTCACATCACCAGAGGCACTTCCAACGGGTGGACCATGGAGTTTGGCTGACATAAACACACCTGTTCAAACATGTTTGCCTTTCAACCACCACAGAAATTTGGCATGTGCCCTTCGTTTTCTAAGACCAGATGCCTGTCTTACTGGAAATGCTTACATTGAACCAAGCCCTAACTGCAGGCAGGTCTTAGAGATGCGGTTTTGAACCTTGTAGAGGAGTGTCCCTAGGCAGTGCCCAGCATTCATAAAAGCCAGCCCTGCATCCTCAGAATACCTGAACTACTACTACTACTACTACTACTACTACTACTTCTTCTTCTTCTTCTTCTTCCTCTTCTTCTTCCTCTTCTTCTTCCTCTTCTTCTTCTTCTTCTTCTTCCTCTTCCTCTTCCTCTTCCTCTTCCTCTTCCTCTTCTTCCTTCTTCCTTCCCACTGCATGAAGCCTGCCCCCTACGGAGCTCACCATCTCTCTGCGTGGGCTCTGTCTGCGGACATCGGGGGCCTCGATGCCCGCCACACACTCCATGTTGCTTCTCATCTCTGCCGGGGATGGTGCTCCCTCCTGCCCAGGCCTCTGAAATCGGGGGTGGGGGCTCTTCCACGCCTGTGGTTTCTGTACGAGTCGTGTGCATGCGTTGAGACCCTCACACGCGTCACTGCTCAGGAGGGTGTCCCCACACCTGCGCACATCGCTGCGGGGTCCCGACGCCGTGGAGCCAGGGGTGGTCGGCTGAGTCTCGCGAGTGGCCACGCTCCCTCTGTGGCGAGATTTCCCATTTCCTACTGGACCCTCGTGTGACTCCATTTTGCCCTCCTCCACATGTAGCGGAGAGCTGGGCAAATGCTGATGTAGCTCAGCGTTCCCTTCCCAAGCGTTTGCTTATAAGCAGCACCGGGCAGCGGCGGCCCCCTCTGCCAGGGACTGCGGCTCTTTGGGATCCTGGGTTGGGCCTGACTTCAGCTCTTCCCGCAGAAATGCCCGGGGCCATTCTTCCTTCGTTTCGCAAAGAGCACGCTATGTTCATCCGTTCGGGCAAGTCTGCGCCAAGTGCCTGTTTCCCATTCTGTGTGTTTGTCCACCTTCTGTACATTCGTTGTGTTACGTGAAACCAGCTTCAGGGTTCGGGCCCACGGACGTCCGTGGGATTTTGGCACACATCTTGCTTCTGACGCGGTCAAGGGGAGGAGCGGGGAAGACAGCGGGCAGCTCCCGGAGCTTGAACCCAGGTCAATCACTCCAGCAAGAAGACGTTTCTTTTGTCTCCTCCGACGACATGCTGTTTAACCGAGGCCTTCCCGTATCCCAGCCCCGGTGCCACCCAAGCCTGAGGTCCTGAGACTTCAGTTAAATTCCTTCCCTAACTCATTTAGCCATTCATTATTAATGAAATAAAATAAAATAAAATACACACACACATGCACATACACACACACGCTCCTACTAGGTGCCAGGTGCGGTTGTAGGCACTGGGGATTCAGCGGTAAATAGATTTGACGACGGGGTGTTGAGAAGTGGGGGACGTGGAGATAAATGAGCACATGACTGTGCACGGAGGAGGGCGACAGTGGACAGGGGAGAGATGGAGACAAGTCCAGGCATGACTCTAGTCCAGGGCAAATGTAACCCCAGAAGGAAGCCGAGTTGCCGCACTGGGTAGAGGAAATGGCACACACTTACCCCGGGGTAAGATTAAGAAGGCCTGTGTGCAGGGAGTGTCGTTTAGATGAGTTTAAAGGGAGCCTGCTGACCTGGCCGGTGTGGTTCAGAGGTTGAGCATCGACCCAGGCACCAAGAGGTCACCGGTCCGATTCCTGGTCAGGGCACATGCCCGGGTTGTGGGCCCGATCCCCAGTGGGGAGCATGCAGGAGGCGGCCCATTGCTGTTCTCTCTCATCGATGTTTGTTTCTTTCTCCCTCTCCCTTCCTCTCTAAACTCAATAAAGAAAAAAGAAATAATAATAAAAAAAAGTATGCCTGCTAATTATTATTTCTTCTCCACCTCAAACCTGTTCTTTTAGGCTCTG